CAATCAGTTTCTAATAGAAATTTACGTATTGTAGAATGATGACATCTGAATAGTTTTCTGTTATATAATTAATAATTATTAGATGCGTATTTTAACAGGAATTTTTTAAAAGTAAAATCAAATCTACCGCCTTTTTTGGATCTGTGTAAAAAGCCACGTGGTTCACCGTTTGATGAAAATATTTTTACAACTAGTCTTGAAAAACAAAACAAAATAAACTTTCAAAAACATTTATTCGTCACATAAAATTTCTAAATAAAAAATTTAATGAATATGCCAGCATTCTTTTAAAACAAAATTTTGAAAAAGTTATCAAGTCTTTTAAATGGTTGTTTTTTTTTTTCAATGAAGTTCGACACAACATTACGGTAAGAAGAAACATATTTGGAAAATATTAATGAATGTGACTGTTTATTTTTTGATATCGAATTTTTTTCTTTAATTTTTTTCCTTCGTTCTCAAAAAGACTTATTTTAAAAAATAATTTTTAATTAAAGTATTTTAAAAGTTTTTGGTCATTTTTAATGTTTACAAAAAGAATTATGTCAGGAAAATTTACAATTCTTTTTTAATCGAAAATAAGTGATTCAGATTAATTTTTTTATTACAACTTAAAAATATTAAATTAGTAATTTGAAAATCATTTTAATAATAATTCATTTGAAAATGTGTCTATTATCGTAATCATGGATTAGGTAACCCGAACCGGTAAAAAGATTATGCAAAAAAAAAAAAAAAAAAATATTGTTCCCGATGTAAATTTTTTTTTTTTTTTTTTTTATTAAAGAAAATTGTATTTATTTTTTGTTGGGAAAAGGAACTTACATTTTCGCGAAAATTAAACTTTTAAAAAGTGAAAGCAAACAAAGAAAGAGTTTCAAAGCGTGAACTGAATTTGTTAAATTAAATAAATTGGTACAGTATCTATTACGTAAAATCAATTATGCAATTTCAAAATGTCCTACTAAACTGGACCCTGACTTTGTATCAACTTACAGCCTGATTGTTTATTGAGAAGAACATGTTGTTGTTAACTTGTTTGGGTTCTAAAAGACATTCGGTTCGTCTTTCTTTATCTTTTATCGAAAAAGTTGAGAAAACAATTTTTGCAATGTGTTGAACTAAATGAATTTTCTTTAAGAAATCGTTTCCCAAGAAATACATTGATTATTCAGCTCATTAAAAATCAGAATACTAATACATAAAAAAAAATTGTAAAAACTATGACGTTATAACGGACTCCCTGGAGGAGGGGGTACGATATGAAACCACGGCCCGAGCGCCCCCATATCGTATGTAATGAGGTCAAAGACTTGAAATCTGATAAGGTGAAACAAAATGGACAACAGAACGAGGATATGTATAATTAATGCTAAATTTATTTATAAAGGAGAGGCTGTGGGGGTAGATTGGTCTGGCAATCAAGGTAATGGTGGTCAGACTGGTCGTGTCGAGGGTTGGAGCCGACATGCTGACATTCTGGTTGTGTCGACGGTTGGAAAGAGATTGCAGACGTTCCAGTCATGCTGATGGTAGGATGTTGAGGTCAATGATGGGATGCTGAGGTGCGTTCGTTTCGGTTGTGTCGACAATTGGACGTTGCAGTGCAAGTATTGCTGGTCGAGATCGGTGACGGAACTTCCCTTACAACCAATAGAATACGGGAAAGGTTGGTCATTGCAGAAGGTCGCTACTGGTCGTTGCAGGTGATTGTTGGTTGTTGCAGGTGATCGCTGCTGCTCAGCTGGTCAGGTTTTGGACTGGATGTGTCAGGCATGAATGGGGAGCTGGCGTTGTGATGTAGTGCTCGGTATCGGCAACAATATCTGGTCAGGAATGTCTGGTGTTGTGTGTCTGCTTGTTGAGTCCTGTATCAAAACCTCCTGTAGTAATCATAACTGTAGTGTACAGGAAAGGTTATGTATGATGTGTGGGCAGCCAGTAGTGACGGAATGCAGAGCGTTGAACATGAGCAAGGAGCCAGAAGTAAGAAGGCGAAGTAAAGAGAGAAAGAGAGGTAGATCCAACTTGCATCCAGTTGGCAGACAAAAAAAAAATGGGAGCATAACTTAATACACAGCCCGGGTTGGCGTCCTGGCCACAAAGGCCAGGGGCCTGTGTACTGACCGTTCAGGCATCTGGGTACTGACCCTGAATTTGGCGAGAAGTCACTATGCTATGTTAAGGAAGACCAACAACAGACACAGTCTTGCAAAAATGCTAAAAAATCTCTCTAAAAATGAGTTGAGATTTGCTATGAACAAAGAAAGGTCTAAAAATGCTAAGAGATGTATTATGTAATACAAATGGAACAAAAAAAGTAATTAGCTCAATTCTAAAATGAAATGAGACTAAATTACCAGTTTGTAGCGAACATGATCAAAGGTCAAGGTTCTCTTCTGTTTTAGAGAGCGGCCATAGACAGCCACGACAATGTTTATATTTTTGTAAATATTTTTTATATACATAAAAAAGGATACCAACATAGACACAGGGATTAGTTTTTAGCAATTATTGTAGAGATTGAACACAGTCACAGGTATCCAGTTTTTAGTTTTATGTTGAAATTTGAGCTTTTACTTTAGAGCCGCTTGCTTTCATTTTAAAACTTAAATTTTCTCAAAAATGAGAAATTTCTTAAAGGAATTTATGTCATTTTCATAAGTAAGAGAACAAACTATGCCAGGAAAAATATATTTCTGTAGAAAAATATGAACTACTTCAGAAAATTAAGTAATGTTTGTTTCAAATTACATTAAGTATACATTAAATTTTCCTAAAATGACTTTTGAAAAAAGTATAATTGAATTTTATAAGATTTTTAAATGGAGAATTTCACTTTTATTTACAAAACTCTTAATAATGGCTGACAGGATTGATTTTATGTAAATTTTGATGACTCAAAAAAAAAAAAAGAAAGTGTTTTAGCTAAAATTTCGAACGTGCTAGAAAGGATTAAAAATTTTTTTTAAAATATTAAAAAAATTACTGTGGTCTTTCCTTTTAATAATAACATAAACATTTAGACAATAAAAAATTGTTTAATCATGTTTGGGGCCTTTTTTCATCAGGGTATTGAATATACCACTGAAACCGATTCCTTAGACAATTGTTTTTTGCTCCCTCCACCTTTGTTTTTATTATTTTATTTTTGTCTACTGTTTATTAAGTACCCATTGTTTACAATTTTACCGTATTCATATTTATGATAATTAATTTTTAAATTATTAAAATCAAACAGTTGGTATTTCTTCATCCAGTTTAGTGCTATTATCAACCTCATCATCAGTCTCATGACTGTGTGTGGTCATAGAGCCACTATACCACAGATATAGCACCTGGGTTGAAAGCTGGAGAGGTATTCATTCATGTGTAGTGTGTCTTGGGCAAGTAGACCTGCAAGAGCCCATCCCACTTTTGGTCAAACAACAGCCAATATCTCTAATGCTTTTCTTGGTCATAGATGTGTAGTTACTGATTCTATCAAGGGACCCCTCCCATCTATCCGTTGACTCCAGTCTTGGATGCCCTTTGATCAGTGATGCTGTGTCATTACCACATTGGCAGTATACATAGCTATAGAGTCCAGTCTACTCCCCACCAATAATAGATGGTTGTTGACACTACAGAAAGGGTTAATCCTTGTTGCAGGATGCTAGTATATTTGAGTAAATATCTAGTAACCATTATGTTTCAGGAATCAACACTTTGGAGAGTAAATATTTATGGGTCCCTGGAAAATTTATCCATAAACAATATTGGCAGACTCAATACGAGTCCAAGTAAAAAAGTAATAACACAAAAGAAATATAAACCAGATGACAATGCATGTACATTACAAAGTTGATGAAAGGAAAAAAAACATAAAACTACTTATAAAAATGTATTTTATCCACATGTGACTACATTTAAATACCAGTGCTAAAAAGCTGTGAAAAAATGCATGACTTTTTCATAGGCTTAAGGAGTGCCCTCCTTAGCAATGTTTTTTTAGTAAAGTCAAGTGGGATAACCCACATCCTGCTAGCTGTTCTCTTCACCAGAAAAGCTAGGTAGGTCACCGCTGACCTGACCATGCACCTGGTAGTTATATGATACCAGGATCACTTGTAGAGTTACCTAATGAGTTGAGTGCAAAGTGGTCTTAAGAAAATTATAGGTGGGGGGGAGTAATAATAATCACAATTTATTTATCTTAGTGGCAATTGCTTTTGAAGAAGTAAGCAAGGTTTTCTCATCCTTTTTTTATTCATTGCTCACTGATTGTACTGCTACTTTGTCACTTACTTTTTACCCATTTTCTTCACTTACAAATTAAATTTGGCTGATGATGGGGAAAACTGATGATTAAATTACTAATTTTACCATTTTTGATCTTAACCCTTTGTAGAAGGAACCTCATTTGGAGTTTTAGTGCCAAGAAGATGGAGCCCTTTTCACAAGCTCTCACTTGGAACACAAAAAAATCAATATAAAACACAGAACACAGCAAACTATCATAAAAACCGCCATTGAAAAGCCCAGATGTGTAAGAGATGCAAGAAGAAATGTGATTGGCTGGTATGAAGACCAGCCAGCTAAGCTCCAGGCTTGTATTATCGGACCAATGGATTGGTCCAGTCATCTTCATCATTCGACTTTTTGGCCAATAGATCAGCCCTGTTGTCTTTTCAAGGTTAAATCAGTTTGAGCAAATTTTGGCACTGTCAAGAATAAAGTGATTGACAATGGCCAGTAACTGTTACTGATAGAATATGATTAATAAGTTAAAATTTTATTTATCTTGGACTATGGAAGGTCTCTACTTTTCATTAATGAAGATTGTTGAGCAACTGTGATTTTAATAAAAAGAATTGAGGTTTGAAATCAACTTGTGTTCTGTTTCATATTTTTGATGTAATAAAAAAAATTAAATAAACATTTTATACATACAAGAAACATATTCTTGTTAGAGACATTGACATTATTTCATTATTTTTGTCTCTTTGCAGTGAACAACAATGGTACTTATTCAGTTTCATAGATGTCATGCGCTGACATCGGGGCGCCAGGAGGTTGTACTGCAGAAACTGAGTTCATTGATTGAAGCAGGTAAAATTGATAAGCTTCAAACCGAAACCTCTTTCTACATTTCTTGTAAAGATGGAGGTAAGTTTATGCTTTTTTTTTAATTCTTTTCATTATGATTTTTTTTTTTCAATAAAGAAATGCATGAAAAATTTAAAAAAAAGTATATTTAAAAGGGTTGATGTAGAGAGAAAATGGTTTATCTCCTAGTAGAAAATGGATTTAAATGTGTCTCATGTGTAAAGTATCCCAAAAAGAAAATGTTGGCTTTACAAGTTGTATATTTAAGAAATGATAGAGTTGGATACGTTTGTGAGACTCATTTTTGCACCTATGCAAATTTGACCTGTCACTCAAGCTACAAAAAGCACTTGACAAGTTGACAGCAATGCAACTGTGATAGTGAACAGGAGATGTGTGTGTTGGATTATTTGATTTATGCTGTTTAAGAGGAAAGAAACAGATTAGGGAACTTTATTCCAAGCACAAAGAAACTAACTACAATTGATTTAATTTTATTTTTGATAACATTTTGCAGTGAAGAAAAATGCCATGATTGTCATATGTTTATTGTAGCTTGTGTCAGAAATAGATGGAAAAAGCTATTTGAAGCGTATGTGTGAACTTAAATTGATTCCATGAGGCAGTGGGTTTTTGACCTTCATAGAGTAACAGGGTTGCTTGCAAAAAGTAATTGATGGTTGTTAATTTCTAATGGTTTGTGTTGCATTAGATAGTGGCTTGGTTTGGTAGGTTGAATTATGAAAACTGGTTTGCATTAGCCGAATTACAGTTGCTATTAATACATTTTTATAGAAATGAATTTTTTTTTTTAATTGGATATTTTAAAAATTGCATAACTATTGAACTAAAATGAATGAAAATCTGGCAACTGTAGTGGATTAAAAGAATTGGTGATTTGTGGGTTAAATTCCTGGGCCAGGCAATGTGTGCTCAAACTCAGTGGAAACAGGGTGAGAAATAAATGAACAGTACTAAAATAAGAACTAGACAAGATATCCCTTGACAAGGCGCAATGGTTGAAACATTGTGATAACAGCAATAAAGATTAGGACAATAGTCTGTATATAGATGTTAGGGGATGCTAACTTATTTCCCCTATAAAAGGATGATAACTCAAAATACAGTTGAGTTACTTCCCTTTCTGCTAGTTGCAGCACAGCACTTTTGAATCTAACATGTTGACAAACTGACACACAAAGAATTCAAGTCCAAATTAATCCTTGCTGTTCTCAGGCAGTAAATGATTAAAAGTTGTTTTATTATGTGTTAAAATATACTTAATAGCTTTAATTGGATGAAGACAAAATGCTAAGAAATGGTTATCCTCTTTTTTTGATTTCTTTTTTTACGTGGATATTTGAAATCAAACATTTAAGTTAAATTGCAGACACACTAATCATTTTCAATTTACATGTTTTGCATTTATCTTCTGGGGAAAATTAAATCTTTAAGTTTTCATATAAATTTTGACAAATTCTGTTTTTCTGATTTTATTTAGAGTTGTCTGAAAAAGAAGAGCAAAAATTGGTGTGGATTTTAAGCAAGCCTTTCTTACCTCATGATTTATCAAAGACAACATTTTTCAAAGTCATTCCAGAAAATGGTTTGAGAATTGAAATTGGACCAAGGTAATTTTAAAGTTAAAGAAAACCTGAGTTTTAATTTCTTTCCTATCAGCAGAAATATCTTATTAGGTATTTTTAACAATTGCTTTTTTGTCAATGATGAGATTATTGCCTTTCCTAACTTTAAAATAATAATAATATCACTAGTGTTTAGCACAAAGCTTTCTAAAACTGTTTTTCTTCATTTTTGTCATTAAAATTATCTATTTAAATAATATACCACATGTATTTGTATATTTTTTGTCTATAACTATTTTTCTGAAATAAAGCAAACATATGATAACATGTTCTTAATGCTCTGATTCTGGTGTCTCACCTGGAAGTATATATTATGGCAACATTAATCTATTTGAGCAAGAGGGTAACTTTAACAGGCAGATTGCACAGATACTATGCTGATTTTAGACAGAGGACACTTGATCTCAGGTAGAATGCATAGTTACTACACTGATTCTTAGAAGTGTCAATTCCATACATAAATAAGCACATCAATTTTGACAAATATTATGATATATATTTGAAGATTGAAATGTAAAACCTAGTAATAGTAAGGATGTATTGAAATATGTTCTCATTTTTTACAGCATAGGTAAAATAATCCAGATATAGAACATTTTGATTAAAATTAATGCGTAATTATCTCCATTAATTAAATTCATTTATGTAATTTTACTTTTTAAAAAAATGTCATCTTTCCTGTTGTTAAACTCAGAAAATTTTCCATTTCTTTCTCTATAATAAATGCAAATGTCAGTGTGTCACATTTTTCCAACTTTACTCCTGGCCGCAGCCTAAATTATCTAATCATTCTGGAATCAGGCCCACTTCGTGAGAAAATTAAAAACATTCCAGGCCAGATCCAGAACCACATAAATAAAATTAAAGGGACACAACTCTCTCTCTAAAGGGACACAACTCTCTAACTTTCATGTGACACTAGCACCTGAAATTTTGTATTCTCAAGTGTTCATTTCTTTCAGCGATTTTTTATTTATTTTTTTTTTTTTTTTTTTACGTAATTTTAAAAGAAAAAAAAATTTTTTTGTAGGATAACAATTTTTATAACTTGGAGGAAATAAATTTGTGGATAGTCGAAATTAATTGCGAAATCAAGCAAAAGTCACCCATGAAATAAAAATAATTGTACTGAAAGTAAGGGCATACGTAATACAATACTTAAATGCAGCGATCAGTTTTGAGTTCTTCTGTAGTTTATTGTTTCCTATCGCATATAGCAACAGTATGCCTTGCAAAAAGAAATCTGCGCCAACAGAAGACCAGATTGCAATCAAAAGACCCAAGGCTGCAGCAAGGAAAAGAAAGTCCCATGAAAATGAAAACCCAGATCAAACAGCAGCCAAGAGAGCTTCTATTGCTGAGTATATGCAAAGACTTAGGTTCTCTCAAGCACCTGAACAAGCTGAAGGCCCAATTAAGAGCTCTTCACAGGAGCTAGCTTAAATGCCACTAGTATTACTATATATTTTAGTTAAGTGAGCACACATGTTTGAGTAGATATCCCTGTTTATTTACAAACAGTGAAATTAACATCTACCAGCTTGGATCATGAAAAGTCTTATTAAAGAGAATGTATCTTTTTGCAGCCTGCATTCCTGCTAAGTGCATTTTCTTTAATAAGACTTTCAATGATCTAGGCTGGTAGACATTAATTTCATTGTTTAAATAGACATACCTGTCTATTTATAATAGTTATAGTAATAAGAAATATTGTTGGATTGAAAAAAAAATCATTAATTGCTTAAAGCAAATCCATATAAAAAGTTTGATTTTCATCCTAAAACGAGAAACAAATACAATGTGTTTCAAAAGTCATGTTGGAGTTTTAAGATCTATTATATGTTTTTTTTTTTATTTTTATTTATATTTTCAAGCATTGAAAAAGTGGAAATAAATGCTTTCATTTAACCACCACTGAGAACATTTTTCTGCCTGGCTGATGCTAGACTCCAGGCAAGCAATACACTATGCCTTCTTGGCCTCATGTTTTCCACTGACTTGAAGTGGAGTGACTATATTGAATAAATAGCTGCATCTAATGCAAGGAAAGTTGGGTCAAAAATTTTTCTCATCAGAATCCAGTTTGCACATTTACAATTCTACTATGCCTGTGCATTGAATACTGCTGCCATATCTGGTCAGGTGCTCCTGCTGTACATCTTGAGATTCTTGACAAAATCCAAAGCAGGATATGTCATGTAATTGATCCTGACCAGGCATCTTGACTTCAGTCACTTTCTTACTGACATGGCGTGGTTTATATTAATAAATATTTTTAAGGCAACTGATCTGGTGAGCTTTTTACCCTGGTGCCCCATACATGAATTTAAGCATTCTGCTAGATTGGCATCTAGGTCCCACCCATTTACTGTTGAAATAGCTAAATGCAACTGCCACTTCTAGTCTAACAGTTTCTTTTCTCGCTCTTCCCATCTATGGATCTCCCTTCTGATTTCTTGCTTCCCTGATAACTACAATCTTCAAAAATCTAAATACAGCATCACTCACCATCTTCTGTCTTCTTGAATCTTGTTCTTCTTTTGTTCTTTCATCTATCCTTCCTGTACTTGGTCTTCTCTTTCACTTTGACTCCCTGTAAACCAGTGGCATTCCTGCCTTGCTTGGGGTGAAATGATAAAAAAATTGTGCATGAAGAATGATCTATATAATCACAATTAATAGCAAAAAATTTAAAAATTCCTTTAATGACTTTATAATATCTTTTACTGTATAAATTTAATCTAAAAAAAATAATGAATTCAATAATATGTCTTTCAAGAAACTGGGCCTTCAAGATTTTTAAAGTTCATCTTAAATGTTACAGATCCTTTTTGATATGTTTCTCAGGATCATGTTTTAAAAAATATTAGCAAAACCAACTACATTTTCTTGTTAATGAAATATAACCTTTTTTTAAATCATTTCACTCCAAGTAAGGCAATAAAGCCACTAAGATGCAAAGGATTTCTGAGTGTTAGAGAATATGAGAAAAAAAAAACACTTAAGGAGAGAGAACAATAAAAGAACAAAAAGACAGAAAATAATGATTGACGTTGCATTTAAATGTAAAGATCAAAGTTGACTAAATAGTACATATTTGGAGTTTCAGATTTTTCTTTAATGTTTTACAAATATAATGCTTGTAATCTTTTTCTTTGCTAATTAAAAACTTATTAATTGAGAGGTTGTAATCATCATCAGTATGACAGTCTCAAAAGACCATTGATTTTCCAGCTTTCATATTGTTGTAAAGTTCAATTATGAAAAGCAAAGACAACTACAGATGTTGCATATTCTGGTTTATTCTAATGATGTTAAAGTGATGATGTCCTCCTGCAGTTTGTATATATTCCTTTTTTCCTTGACCTCTTTGTGATGAACCAAGGTTGTTTTATGTACCAACAGCCCTCTGTTATTACAATGTTATTAATTACAACAGAGGTTGTCACAAAATTGTACAATTTAAGTAGAAGAGACTATTTTACATATTTCCCTAATTTGAACTCATCTATATTTATTTAGAAAATATTAATTTCTGTTTTATTTGCATTGCAAAGGAATACTGAATTAATGTATAATAAAGTCAACTTTAGAGCAAGTTAGCATTTAACTTTATTTTTTTTTTTTTTTTTTTTACCAGTTTATAGTATACGTTCTTAAATGATTTATGTTTGGGATCATCTCCACATTTTCCCTCACTCTTTTATCATTTGTTATAAGAACAACACGACCAGAAAATACCTTAACAAAGGCTTTAATAAACAAAGCAGCCTGTGATGGAGCTAACACTAAATAAGAAAAGAACAAGACAAAGGATGATACGAATATATATTGAAGAGTGTTCTAAGGGAGGTAATAATTATATGAATAGTTCCAATTAAGAGAATGTATATACAAGTATACCTCACCCTACATCGTTAATTGGCTCCAGAGGTAACGACTTAGGTTGAAAAACAACTTAAGTTGAAATAACCACACTATAAACCACAAATAAGCACTCCCCATTGCCTATTACAATATTTATGATATGCATGTAGAGTATTCTGAATAAAATAATTAATTTCCACTTTATCTTGCAGTGATATAGCCTTATGCTTAGCATTAGCACTTGCACTGGGAATTTTCTTCAGAGCCATAGACAAAAATGTATTCTAAATCACAATTGAAATGTAATTGAAGCAATGTCAACGGCAGAGTACAGATGTAAACAGTCTGAATTCAAAATCGATGTTGGAACGGAAAACAACAAAGAAGTGCTGTCTGTTGGCAGGAATTTGAAATAAGGACATCTGTTGATGATATACTAATTTTTTGTTTTTACTTTATGATATATAGTGTTTTGAGGTTTCTCATATTTTTAAAGACTGACATAAACTGGAGTAAAATGACCTAAAGCAAGTTTTATTTTTCCATATAATACTTAAGAAAAACCAATGTATCTTCAGAAATGACTTAATTCAAAATGACTTAAGCCGAGGTATCACTGTATGTATTCCCAAACCCCAAAACAGCCTTTCAATATTCAGTGTTAAGCTAATGTTATCTTTGTCCACAGGTTGAACTTTTCAACTGCATTTTCTACCAATGCCGTTTCTATTTGCCATTCTATTGGACTAAAGAATATTGATCGAATAGAATCTTCGCTGGTTTTTTTGTTGACACCTGTTGATGGCAAAAGCTTTACAAAAGAAGAAGAAAATAAAATGGTGGCTGCTCTGCATGATCGAATGACTCAGTGTCGATATGTTGAACCCCTAAAAACATTTGACCAAAAGATGGAATCAGAACCTGTATTTGATGTCGATATTCTTCGTTCCGGCCGTTCTGCTTTGGAAAAAGCAAATAAAGATCTTGGTAATGTTAATTTAAATTAAGTATTTTCTCATGTATTATATGATCTTATTATATTGTTTCTCTATTCTCACACAGAAAGTTACACACACTCACACACATTTCCTTTTTCTGTCGTGCACCAATAGCTTAGGGGTAGAATCTCAGGCTGATTCCAAATCAGTTGAGTTTCGATCCTGGCGTGAAACAATTTGATGTCTAGCCACACTGATGAGCTGTGATACAGTGAAACAGTCTGTGGATGATATATATGCTTGCAGAGGTGTTGAGATCTCACACTTATACACACTCACACTAATATATGCACATCACACACACTCTCATTCAGAGAACTAAAAGTTAACATACACTTAACACACACATACCATTCCCTGCAACCAATAAAACTGTCAAAATGACCAAGGAGAGAATTCTTAGTCAAGAATCTGCCATCCTCTATCTTAAAAACAACTTCAAAGAGGACATTTGACCAACACAAGGACTGACCAAAATTAACGATAAATAAATGAAAACTACAGATAAAGTTCACTTTCTTCAGAAACAGTCATTCACTACTGAAGTTTACTGCTACTAACAAGCAGCAACAATATATACCATCCATACTAGAAAACAAATACTAATCCATTATATATTCACCCAAAGTCTAATCACCCTCCATCTATAATAAAACACATACTTTTATCGATAGAATATAGAATTAGTATCAATTCTGCCAATGAAGATATATTTTATAAACACTTCAATTTTTATAATAATGCTTTAAAAAATAATGGTTATAAATGCCCTGATATTAAATACAGAAAAGATAATAATGACAGCAGGAAAAAAATAGAAATAAAAAAATAATGACACACCTCCATTTAACCAAATGGTTTGCACAAAGTTAAGGAAAAAGTTTCTTGCTTTGATTGAGAAACATTTTCCAAGTAATAATCTTCTAAGCAAGATTTTCAATAAAAATATTTTAAAATTAAGTTATAGTTGTACTGATAATCTATAAAAAAAATTATAAAGAAACATAATAATAAAATTATAAATAAACACTTAAACCTAAATAATAATAGTAATTCCAAAGCAGAAATCAATAATATTCATAATAAATTATGTAATTGTAGAAATTCCATAAATTGCCCATTGCAAAATAAATGACTTACTGAATCTATTGTTTACCAATGCACCATTTCATCTACTGAAAACCCAGATGTTAAGAAATTTTATATTGGTAGCACAAAAAAATCCTTTTAAACAAAGGTGATATCAACATATTTCTTCTTTTAATAACAATGCGTACTGTAACCAAACATCCCTCTCTAAATATTTTTGGTATTTAAAAGAAATTGACAAAACTCCCACAGTAAAATGGAAAATATTAAAAAAAACAAGAATTTATAAGTTCTTAAATGTCCCCTGTGTTTACCTGAAAAGCTGCATATTATTAAATTTCCTAAAAATAATGATCTACTAAATCAGTGTAATGAACTAACTGTAATTTGTAGGCATTGTATAATGTTTACTTTAAAATATAGTTAATAGAATTTTTCATAAAAAAAAATCTATGTATTACTATTATATATTCATTATTTTATTAATATTTATTTAATTCCTTCATTTTTTAACTTTAATGTTACCATGTTTTATTGCCCATTTAATATAATAAGTATTGTATTTTAGATTCAAAATAATATATATAAAAATGATTTAATCACACTAGAGGTTCCTTTAAGATAGTTCTAAAGTGCATATGAAAAAATTAACCTTTTGTTAGATATATCTCTTTATTTCAATGTATCTTAAAGTTATATTGACAACCAGATGTAAGCTGATGGTAAAGCATCGTAAAAATGTTAGTTCATCTAGACATGAATAAATAACACACTTACCCCTAACCGCCAACCTATATTTCTCACTTTTCTGCTTTAGCCTGGACCTGTCTTTTGATTGGTTAACCTAGATGTACTCACAAAATTTTGAAATCTTGTTCCTCTCTCCTTTTTAACTCTTAAATAAGGTACTATATTGTTTTGTGTTTTCAAAAGTAAATCATTTTCATCATAAGTTACCTAACATCGCCTGATGATGGAAATTTTTAAGTTCTGAAACACAGAAATTTTTAATGTAGCGATGTAAAATATTTTTTAAATAAAAATATTATTAAAATATTACGCTCTATGTTGCATTGAGCCCTTTTAAAAAAAGTAAATGCTAAAGAACTGTGAATTCTTAATCTGTCTGTTCTTTCTTTTATTTCGATATATATATACACACACACACACACACACACACATATATATATATATATATATATATATATATATATATATATATATATATATATATATATATATATATAGTGGTTCCTCACACTAAAACAAAAACAAAAGTCCATATAAACATATGTCTGCAAATCCTTCATTTTTAAATTATTAAGTTTAAAGTTCATGGAAGATGCTGTTAAATACACAATCCAAAAATACTTTTACAAACTCTAGGGGCAGGTTTTTGACACCAAAACAATGTAAAATGTCCATATAAACACAAAAGTTGTACCTCATCAGATTTACATTCTGTTTTTGCTCCAGGTTATTTCCAGGATAGTTGTACAAAAATTAATTCTAATACAGAAAAACCTGGCAACAAAAAAAAATAATTGTAAGAAATAATAATAGTCAATACATGTATAAATACAAATAAATTTAATAATCATAATATGTATAATAATATATGGACTTCTGTACTCAAGGGAAGGTGATGTCTTTTTGGAAACTCCAAAATTTAATGCATTATAAGTGAAAAAAATGTCAATAGTGCTTTAAAGTAATATAATAATTTAATAAAATTTGTAATATTAATAAATAAAAGACAGAAGGAAAGCTTTTCTTTACCAACATGTTTCATCCCCAAAGTAGTATTATATCCTGATTTTATTCATTCGCTTTATGTAAACTTTTGAACATCTGCCTATATTTCTGAGTTGAGGTATTGTAAATATTTACACTACTTAGATTGTTCATACTGTTGTCATCATCTTTATTGTTATATTCCTAATGTTTCGGACACATGGCCCAGTGGATAAAAGTGTTGGTTGAAGTAATCCAGTGACTTAACCCAAAGAGTTGTGAGTTCAATACCTGGCCACAGCAGAGGTGAATAAACAACTTGGAGAGTTGAGTTACTAAAGGGAAATAACTGAATTTGAGATATTCAGAAAAATCATGGCACATGGAACTAGAACAATCTACCCCCATGGACTAAATAAAGAGTTCTGTTTGAAATTCCAACACATATCACCTGAAGAAGGCCGGAGTGTACAATGGCTGAAATGTCGTGAATATAGCAACAGTGATAATGCCAACAGTCTTAACAATGTAAATAGTGTAAGCCTTTTGAAGTTTATATTTCTAATAACTTATTTTTTCTATATCAGAATGAAATAAATAACAAAATGGTAGCAAAAGAATATTTGAAAATATTAAAAATGAATATTATGATGGGTTTCTATGTTTTTCACATGCTTTTTTCTATGACTGTAGATGATAGGAGGAAATTGTGTGAGAAAGAGAATGCAATCATTATGTAATCATTAGAAAGGAAAAATGATGATGACTGGCATAAAATAGCAGCACAAAATTAAGTGGACATGTAGCCGAGTAGTAGTTAAAATGTTAGCATTCTGACCATGTTGTAGAGTAGTTTCACAGTGGAGGCTTGTATTTGTCCTAAGTCGGTCCTAAAATAGGTTCGACGTACAAAACGTTAGGAACTTGATATAATAGGTATTACACAGAGTAATCTAGTCGTGGTCGCTGATACTTTAATATCCGACTAATGGTCATCCGACATCGACTGACTGACCAACTCACTGAGCGAATTCTTGTTACTATTACTACTCCTACTTATTATAGGTGGGAGAGTCTATTAACTAAAGAATAGGTGTGTTCCACTATAACAGACCATCAGACCCACATTTGAATCTCGCCATACCTGGTTTGTCAAAGAGGTGACTTGATAATACCAACCATGGGAGACAGTCCCAGCCTATGACATCATTGGGAAGTTTTTGGAAACTGTCCTATGCATTGACTTTAGCCTTGTTAGTGAAATTAGGCAGTTGAAACTGTTTGAAACTATAAATCATTGTGACCGAGGGCTTGATTATACTGGCCTCGTTTCAATTGATGATCACACCAGATTATGTGCTTTCTCCTTGCCTAAGGATGTAATTCTTTCTAAATACTGAATTTAAATTTTAAAAAGATATTTCTTTCTTTATTTTTTTCTCTTTACATCAGGCCTTGCATTTGATGACTGGGACCTTGATTATTACACTAACCTTTTCCAAGAGAAAATAAAACGAAACCCAACAAGTGTTGAGTGCTTTGATCTGGCACAGTCCAACAGGTAAGCTTAGAGTTTGATTTGATTTAGAAACAGTCTTCTGTTGGTGAGAATGATTAATTCTTTCTTTTATTTGTAATTGGTAAGAGGCTTGGAATTGGCTTCTTTCGGTGCCAACTGTTTGCTGATCTTGTCTATATATATCTTCTATTTAAAAAATCATTTACTAAAAAAAAAAATATTGAGCAAACTCCATTTGGAAGCAAATCCAAGAGTTTTAGTTTTATATAACTAATTTTAACTTCAGAAACAAACTAGTTAGATTAATGAAGACAGCCAAACAAAATAAAAATGACTAACCTCTGAATTTATCTTTCATTTACCCTTTATTATGGAATAAATAAATTTTGGCTAAATTTCTCATTCATATTATTAAACCATAAATCATAAGCTGTGTATATATATATATATATATATATATATATATATATATAATTAGAATATATCTGTAAAAGGACTATGAATAAAGGCGAAAGGAAAACTTATCTTAGCCATGTGTTTTATCCTCTATCCTGATGGACATTATCAAGGCAAATGCAAGGGTTTTATTTTGTAACAAATGTTTATAGAAATGATCACTTTTCAAAATTTTGAATTTAAGAAATAGTCATAAATATTCATCAGATTAGCTGAAAAGTCTTGTTAAGTTATGGCAGATCCTAAGTGACATAATTTAATGTCTAATAAACAAAAGTGTGTAAATAAATTTAAAAAATTTTTTTTTAATGCAACCTAATATTTAAATTAGTTTTGGATCAATTTATGGGTTAGTGCTGATGTTTAAGTCTAGGCCTAATTTGAAAGTCATCAGTTGAAAGTGGCTTTATTGGAGTCATTGCTATTGTTTTTGAAGCAGTTGTACAGTCTTATACATGTGTTCACATACACAAACATGTTATACTTTTTGTACATATGGTTGATGCATTCTCTGGCCTTCAAGTGTTATATTCAGTAATTTTGAGTGCCATTTTTTTTCCTTGAGGAAATTATAAAATTTGGCAGAAGTGTCCACACTACCTACAAAAAAAAAAAAACTCAAACAAACTTAGTAACTCTCAAAGATCATAAGTTGAAAAATACCTGTGACAAAGTAAGGAGATGACAATTAAAAATGCAATAGAATAGTGTGTATTTGTTTACAAAGATATATTCACAAAATGTCTGCCAGAAAAAAATCTTTTTAAATTAACAGTGAAAATCAAGCACAAACTTATGCAATTATCTGATATTTTGTATTTATTATTAATGTCTTATTTTGGATTATTATTTTATGAGGCTAAAATAATCCTTCCAATTAATAAAATATTATCAGTTGAATCACGTTTGAGTCATTTATGATTTCAGATATTTTCAACTATTAGCATTTTGAAAACTCTCTTCTGCAAATGTTTTAAAATTATTTTAATCATCTTCAAGGTTTATTTGAACATATACATTTAGTCTGAGTATATATCTGCACATTATTCCAATTTTCATTCTGCAGCTGGGATTTTAATTACTATAACGAGTAGAAAGGGTACTTTCTATATTTTATAAAATTTAATTATTTACCCCCTCTTATATGTTAATTAATTTTTTACTTTGATTTTAATGTTTACCAAATATCAAACTAATGAAGAAAAATTTCATGTGACTCAAATTGGAATTTGTTTCTTCCTTTGCAGTGAGCATAGCCGTCATTGGTTTTTCAAAGGCAAGATGCTTATTGACGGTCAAGCGCAAAAAGAATCTTTATTTCAAATGATTATGGACACACAAAACTACAGCAACAATAATAATGTTATCAAATTCAATGACAACAGCAGGTAAGTTATAATAAAAAATTATTATAAAAATTGAATGGTCACAAGAAAATTATGCTATTATGCATAGGTTTACAAATCTCAGAAATTATTTGGTCATGTTTTATTTAATGAAGTTTTACATGTAGTCTTATTAAGTTAATTTCATTCATTGATTTCTCTGGTGATGAAAATTAGGTTACACAGTTCTGTTTAGTTCTCAGGCTTGTAATTAGTTACAGGAGGATATTTGTATATGAAATAAATTGAAAAGTTGAAAGCTTCATCTGATACTATATGAAGTCACACTTGAATAAGGTACATGTACCTGTTAACGTTTTTATTCAGAGGGTGTTTTTTTTTTAAAGTGTAAACATACAACATGATCCTTGCCTGAACTTTCTACTGACTGGCCAATAATTATCTCATGTTGCATTTTGATTCCTGGTCTCTTTGATGTGCACCAAAAGCTGGAAAAAGGTCTGCTGCATGTTCACAAGGTAACAAGATGAAACACAAATGTCATGTTGAGAAATAAGAACACAGAAACTGTTTTCCATATTATATGTAGATGTTTTATTCAGGACTTTGCCTGCCTGCCTAGGTAGGTGACACTGGTCAATTTTTGCTATATGGATCTCGTAGATCTACTTTTACTGCAATGGGAAAGTGTCTACTGCATGTTCACAAGGTAACAAAATGAAAGACAAATGGCATGTTAAGAAACAAAAACCCAAAAATTGTTTCCCATATTACATATAGATGTTTTATTCAGGGCTTTGCCTGCTTGTTTGTGTGGGTTGGTAACTGACACTGGACAACTTCTGTTATATGGAGTTCATGGGTCATCAAACGTTTCCCCACACCAACTCCTCACCCATCTACATATCCTGATGTGTGGCTGGCAATACGAATAGATAACATTGGAACCATGTGACAGACAAGTCTGTCTCCCGCCAAGGGCAGACCAGAACTGATTCTCCAATCCCAAATATGATTGTTAATATAGATCAGAACCTGGAAATGATGTCCAGTTTGTTGTCACTTTTTCTAAAAAAAAAAACAAACCCTCATCCACTCTTTTTTTTCTTTTACTTTGTGCAAAGTGGATGCCGCTTAAATGACAGGACTTCAGAAGGAACCATCTGCTGGTTATCAAACAGAAACACCTGATATTGAGATAAAACCACCTTTTCTTTTTCTATGTGAATGACTAGAGTATCACTCTATAAATCTGGTTATATTTCATTGATCCCTTACTAGTTTTACTACATTTTACTGTTTCTCTTTAACTAAATACACTGGGTGAATACACTCTTCTAGTGTAATAGTGAATAGTACAAAATAAGTTGCTTTCATTGAGTTTTGAAAAATTCATATCTGCATCTTAGGAACTTGTTTTTTATGGCTGTTGTCTTAACCACTTCAGCTATAGAAGATCAAACAGTGCACAAATCTGCCACTCCCTCCTTTTTCATTCTTTTATGCCATTTCTCTTTTACTACCAAATGATAATAGTCCTGGTATTTTTAGAAATTTTTCCTTGTAACATTTTTACTATTATTATTTTATTAACTAATTTTAAATCTTATTTATTTTTGCACTCTGGGTTGATAGGCTCTTTGATTATGAGAGCAAACAATGGTTAAATTGAAAATAGAATGGTAATATCTGCAGAGATTTGAACATACATCCCACACCATTGGAACCTATCTTTCATGGACATCAGTTATCTACTTCAGCCCAGGACCCCTTAGTAATTAAATAATACTTCATTTATATTTTAACTTTACCAGTACCATTTTGCTACAAATATCTGTGCTTCTCAGTTAAGTTAAATGGCAAATTCTGTCAGGCCGTTTATGTGTCTGAAACGCCTCTAACTTGGGCCACACTTGCTCTACCTTATTATATATTATACTCTACCTTATTACATATTATACCTTTTTGGAATCAGGATGATCCTGGGATTGAAAATCCGCCCTTCATCTGGCGCTTGAACATCCATCATTGGGATTTGTGTCCAGATGAGGAGGGAACAGTTAAAAATTCAAATTTTAAAATTGCTGAAAAAAATTAGAGATTTTAAGTTTTTAATTTTTATTGAGTTTAAAGTAACACAAATTTAAACATTTGTTTTAAATTCAATTTAAAATATCTCCAAAACTTTGTGAATCAAGGAAATCATTTAACTGTTCAAAATGCCAAAGAATCAGAGTTAAAATGAGAGGTTTCATGATGTGAGGTTTTCAAGCTCTGTAGAGTTTGTGATTTGAAGAACTCAATTTTCAGCCTGAATTGGAATTTCGGCCCAAATCAGTCTTCTGGCTGGAATTGGACTTATAACCTAAATCAGAGTTAAAGTGAGGTTTTGAAGTTCCATGGAATGAATTGACAAATTCAAAGTTATTTCTTCAAAATTATCATTGCTGTTTTTTTACAGTTAGTTTTGCCCAATTAGCCCCTCTGAAAGAGCTTAGCTTAAAAGTCCACACAGCATACAGCTTTTAAGCTAGTATGTATATAAAAGCTATTTTGCTCAGTCCACTGCAGGATTCAGGTGTTCCTTAAGTCTTTAAGACATTGAGAATAAATTCAACCCCATCAGCCAACACATCAAAGGCCAGTGTGACAGGGTAAGACCCTATGGAAATACTTAATTGACATTGTGCTTGTGTACTGTATGATGATCAAATTCCTCATGACATTGCACTAGTCTATTATTTTTACCATTCAGGTATTTTCTTGGCAAAAAGTTGCATCACTCAAGTATGTCAGTCCCATTAGTGTCTGGGTTTAGTTTTCTATGGTTTTTTGTTTTTTCCAAAGTTAAAACTCACCATAGAAGAGGATAGAATTTCTTACTGTAGACAAGATTAAAGAAAACATGAGGCAGCTAATAACAATCTGGAAAGAGAACTTTGCAGGCTTTTGGAATAAGTGTGTGAAGCCCCCAAGGGAAATACTTTGAAGGGAACTAAAGTGCTATTGCCCTAGGTAAGGCCATTTTTTCAGTAATATTAAATGATTGAATATTTTTTGGACAGAACTCTGATGATTAGATAGAACAAAATTAACCACTAAAACTTGATTGCATCTTACTAATCTAACTAAATAATGTGACTATTATTTATACAAGGCTAAGAATAATCCATCTTGCTTTTTGGTATATTTTGTTTATCAGTGCATTGGAAGGTTATACAGTGGACATATTGACTCCTGAAAACTCTTGCTCTGCCAGTCCTTTGAAAAGGAAGGAAGAAAGTAAACGACACATCATTTTTACTGCTGAAACTCACAATTTTCCTACAGGTAACCATTTTCTTTATTTACAGTATTATCCATGAGATACATTGATTTGTCAGTAGAATTGTATGTTTGTTTTGTTCATACATATAAATACAGTTTGAAATTGATTTAAATTGTTAACAGAGTGTAGCCTAGTGGTTAATATATTTTGAAACCCACTTTAATTAAAATGCTACATTTATTTATTCCTACTCGGCTCTACTTATCCATAAAAATATTTTTTATTGAATTGTAGCTTTTGATATTTTGTAACAGTTAATTGATGTAGTTTAGCATTGTTAAATTATGGTTTGCCAGTGGTTTGTTTTTGAACCTGATAATCTGATTTGAAAGAGAAAAGAAAAAAAAGCAAAAGAAAATTAACACTCAATTTGGATGTTCTATGTTCCTGTAATTTCTAAGTCAACTGCTCATCCATTTTGGCAGAAAAAGGAAAAGAAAAGGAATGACAAAGAAAAAGAAAAAAAAGAAATATATATATATATATATATATATATATATTTTTATAAAAAATTATAACATAAGTATGTTATAAAATCACTACAAAAATAGCCATTTTGTTTCAACACACTCTGTGTCTTATCAAGTGATGATGTTGGAAAAGAAAATAAATGGTTTTAAAAGTTTCAGATTAATTAACGATCCTACACTAGGGGGAAACATTGTTACAAAAGCTAGAATAACCAATCAAAAACGAAGTATAGAAAGATTCAAAAGCTTGACATTTTAAAATCCTGCTCTAATAGCTATTCAGATCTTTAAATAAATTGTAATATTAAAAATAATTTATACTAACTAATAATTATAAATTTACATGATAAAATTTAATATTAAAATTAAAAACTGGCAATTTTAAAATCCAAATTTAATCACTATTAAGTTTAAAAACTACAAAATTATTGAGAAAAGAAAAAAAATATATGTTTATTCAATTCATTTCTTCATTGAAATTACGTTCGACAAGACAAGACGCTATAATACATCCGGTCATTTGATAATACATGTATATATATTTTTTTCTTTTTCCCTTTCTTTTCCGTTTTTATTTTAAAGTTTGTGAATATGGTCTTAAACTCACGCGTGACACAACAAAAACACAATCATATTATAATACATAAGCATCCAGACATAATTAGATATACACACACACATACACACACACACTAAAAAAAAAAAAAAAGAAGAGAGGTGGGGGGAATACATGAACATCTCTACAGCCCTTTATGAAAAAAGGAGACGTGGAAACTAACACTTATACACACACACAGTTAAATGTGAATACACTCTACATACACATAGACACCAATATATACACATACATACATCCACAGACAATGGCATAGACATTGAGAAATCACAACCAGTAAATATTTCAGACTTAAATAAATGCTAACCACTTATTGAATTATAACTTAAGGGAGCAAATATACAAAGATAAAAATGTTTAAAATAATATTATTTAATATATTAAAACGAAAATTCTAAAACCATAAATATCAATAAAAATATATATATTATTAATCATATAAGTTGATAATAGTTTCATTATATATTTGGCAAAGAAAAACAGGATAAAGAAATCCACAAATATATACATATATATATATATATACACACAGCAAAAACAAATTAACACACATAAATATATACTCATACATACATATACATACAGAAATACATACAAATAAATATATAAACATAAACATATACGTACATATACATATCTATGATAACAAGTACACATACAGCACATATACATATAAACCTAAATACACACACATATATACACATAGACTTTTATGCACACATACTTAGATATATAAAAAAACAGTCATGATATACCAAAGTTTCCATACCCACACATACACACAAACAAACTCATACATAATAGGTCGTAACACACACACATATATATATATACATACACAAACATACATAAATATATACACACATACATACATATCTACAAATAAACATATATATATAAATAAATATATCTATCTACAATAACAACTACCCATATATACATGCATACATAAAATACAACAACATTCAACCAAATACATATATAAACGAACTAACATATAGATACATAAATATACCTTCAAACACCAACACACAGCAATATACATATATATTCTAACATACAAATATATAAACACATTCATACAAACAGAAATATACTTAAATATAAATACACATACACAATAAAATAGGACATACAGATATATATATATATATATATATATATATATATATATGCACACATATATATATATATATATATATATATATATATATACACATACATACACACATACACATACATATATATATACAAATATATCGTGGCACAAAGCCGAAATTAGGGTATCCCAGTGAGGAATGAACTCATTCCTCAGTATCACCACCTAATCTAGCGAACCATGCTGGCCGACCATTATACTGCCGTGATTTTATCATACATATACATGTACATACTCATACACATACACACACATACACACACATACACATATATATATATATATATATATATATATATATATATATATATATATATATATATATATATCCAAACACATACATATACATATATATATATATATATATATATATATATATATATATATATATATATATATATATATACAAATATATATATATATACACATACATACATACATACATACATATACACAGACACACACAAATACATACATATACACCCACCCATACACACATACATATATAGGCACACACATACACATATACAGCAACAATTATTAACTTTTTTTCTCTTATAATCTACCTTACCTTCCACATATATATATATATATATATACACACACTCACATATATATACATACATACACACCCCACACATACACCCACACATAAAAAAAAAAAAAAAAACCATAAATACATTTATACATAACCTACACATTCCTCAGTGCAAAATTTATAACCAACACATAAATAAATATATACACATTTACACCAACACTAATAACACTATGCAGGTAAACAATACACTTATATCGTGTAATTTATGACCATCATGCAATAAAAAATACTAATCTATTAAAAATACAGCGACATATCATTATCATTTAAAGTATACGACCCCTACACTAAGTTAAATTTATAACGGTGTTTACAATTTACTGTAAGTTCATATCTTTGATTTAAGAGATCAGCCTTGTTTTTAAATCTAATAATTTCAAATTTTTCATTAAGGCATAGGTAACATGGGTTTTTTTATATATATATATATATATATATATATATAGCCTTTCAGACTGATTTTTGTTTTTCTTTTTTGAGTTGTAGGTTTTTGGTTGTCATCTTGATTCTGACATAAAAAATATTGCACAATATCACTCACTCTTTTTACTTATTTGCTCTTCCTTGTCTTTCCACCCATTGGATGTATACTCATAAGCCAACAAGAAATTCTTTTCTCTAACTACCTTTATTCTGACAACCATTCTCCCATAATGCAACCCACTTCCTATTTCTATGTTGACTGGTTGGCAGGAAGAAAAATAAGTTTCTAATAACTCATTTTTTCCAGTTTCTTATTCTTCCTTCTTTCACCCCACATAAGTTTTAATAAAATAATGTTACTTGCTGATAGATAATTTATTATAATTTTTGTATTAATAAATGATGATTTGCTTGTTAGTTGAATCATTTAATGTTGAAAATCGCAATTTAATGTTGATAATTCTCAAAGTTATGGGCTGAACAATATGGGTTTTGAAGACTGCAATTTAGAAAAAATAATCTCAAATCTATGGCTATTGTTAATTACAAGTGTCGATACTAAATAGTGCCATTTTCTCTTGTTGAAGAATGATGCAATAGGTTAGTGAGAGTGAAAGAAAGAAAGGGGACAATAATGAAGTAGGATTCAAGGAGACAGAACATGACAATTGACATTGCATTTAAATTTTTGAAGATTGTAGTTGACAGGAAAGCAGGAAGACAGAAGAGATTTTCACAAGCAAGAAGTGTAAGCGAAGAAACTGTTAGCATAGAACTTGTAGTTACAATTAGCAATTTCAAGAGTGAAATTATGAGACCTAGCTGCCAATCAAGTACTGCACTTAAATTCATGTAGTTGAGGTACCATCAGAAACACTGATATATATAGAAAGGGACTTTTAATCTCAACACCAAAATTGTTTATACGTCTAGGTGATGGTTGCAGGTCACCCTTAATTCACCAATATAAAAAATGACACAGTTGTTTACAAAATTTAATCTAAAATCTTTTGCTGTATAGTATTTTATCTATGTGAAGAATGAATTAATTGCATTAACAAAGATGGATATTGAAATGACCTATGATTTTCCTGTTCTGCTGATGTTTGTCCATATTTCTCGTATACTCTTGCTATTCTGGTCTGAGAAAACCTAGAGCAGTTACCACCTTTTTGGTCCAAACAATCATTCCAAGATCAAACCTCTCTGTGTCTCATGACTATACTATCTTTGTTAACTATTATGTCACTTATAGAATTTGGTTGAGTCCATTTTTAAAAATGGAGGAGGGAAAAAAACATACAGTGTACTGTTTTCATTTTTTGGCACTTCAGCATATATGAATTTGGTTAAAAGCCAAAGAAAGTGCTTTGTTAAGGATTCTTTTATTTATATTTTTTCTATATTTTGTGCTATATTCTTGGTTTCTGGTAAAAGCTTTAATACATATTTTCCATGTTGGATAGTTTTTTGTTTATTTATATAAATATATATGGAAAAGTATAGTTTTAAGGTATGCAATATTTATGAGTAAAAATGCTCAATAACAGGGATAGAGTATGTGTCAATATTAAAGTAGACACTGAGGTCAACACTCTGTTTCATGCTTGAACACAGTCTTCAAGCCATGTGTGTTATGTGGTGGTTTGCCTACATATGCTGGTCAATGGGGCATTATGGTAGCAAAATCAGGCGTTTTTGATTTATTGTATTATAATGGTTATTGGGTATGTGGTAATGGTTATAATTCCCCACTAACCAGCATATATAAAAAGTTGAGCTATCACATGACACACATGGCCTGAAGATTGCTTTCAAGCATGAAACAGGTTGTTGCAACTCTGTGTCTACTTTATAATATGTAATGAATGTTCAGTTGATCTCTTATGTTTTCACTGCTTGACTGCAGTTATATATTCACTACTAGTTTTGTATTTTGGTGACATGCATCTCACATTATAGTTATTATAGTGGAAATAAATAAAATTCCATGGATCCCACAAAACAGATTTTTATTTTTTTCCTGATACAAATGTTTAATACCATTTCTTGACTATAAAATTATTTCCACTATAATGTTCTTTGCAATTTTCTTTTTTTTTAATTTTACGTTTCATGTTGAGTATGATTGATAAAATTAACTGACAAAGATTATTGATTATTTCAAAAAGTAATTTTGAGTAAAAACCTTAATGTTTGAAATGCTTAAAAATGTTTATGGTTTATTTTGTTGTTAGGTGTTGCTCCTTTTCCTGGAGCCACAACTGGAACCGGGGGTCGGATACGAGATGTTCACTGCACTGGACGAGGGGCACATGTAGTTGCTGGTACAGCTGGGTACAGTTTTGGAAATCTCCATATTCCTGGTAGAGTTTTTTCTTTTTTTCTTTTTTCCATTGGTCTTAAAAAACAGTATCAAATTCCCCTTAAGACTAAAGTTCAAGTTCACTGTGAAAATAAAGTTTAAAAGGATGACATAGCTAATAAGTTCATTTTGTAACAAACTTTGCTCAGATAAGTTAACACCTACTGGATTTAACAGCAAGCAATTTTTCTTTTGTACAGCTTTTTAATTTGCTTTTATTTGGGTATTATTTTGATTCTACAGGTTATAACCTGCCATGGGAAGAAGTTAACACATATACTGGACCCATGAAATTTGCAGCTCCTGTTGACATTGCAGTAGAGGCTAGTAATGGGGCTTCTGATTATGGTAATAAATTTGGTGAACCGGTTTTAACTGGTTTTGCTCGATCTTTTGGTCTCACTCTTCCTGGTGGGGAATGGAGAGAGTATATAAAACCGATCATGTTCAGTGCCGGAATTGGAATGTTGGAAGATATGCATATCAAAAAGAAGTCTGTAGAAAAAGGTGAGATACTTCCAGTTTTTTTTATATGTATTATATGCATTAACACATTTCTGCTATTAGAAACCATTGGGTCATTTGGGGTCATTTTCTTTTTTTAACATATGTTGATATAAGTACATGTTAAAAGAAAGACAAGTATAAAGTAAGTAAAGAATATCTATTATATGTTGCAGTGAAAAATCCTCTTTTTTAACCTTTTTTTCCATATTGCATCTCCTCTTATTTAATTACTGTATATGATGACATATAAGACACTTTTTTTCCAAAAAATATAGCTAAAAATCTTGCAAATTTGAAACTGTTCATAACCTCAGACAGTTACTATCTAATCTGAAATATGTTTTGGCTTTAAATAAATTACAAAGAGTTGATAAGCTGTAAAAAAACAATACCTTCAATCAACACTTCTACCTAACCTGACTCCATAATGATATTTATTCAAACAATATTATTATTATTAAATAAGTTATTGTAACAAAATATTGGTGATGTTCATCAATATAAGCTGATCCTTCATACCTAAATATGTCTCAACATGCTCTTATCAATAACCAACTGGAAACTACAAAAAAGGTGTCACTGGAAAGAAATACGGGTCATTGTAAAACATTAACCTGGGAAATATAAGATTGAAGCTATGGAAAAATATGTCCATCATATGAAATGACTTAAGAATAATAACTGGTGAAAAGGTGGGTGTCTTTATATTATGATTTCTTGCTTTGTATTCACCTGTACTACTAGCTTGCTTTTTATATACATTGATGTTTTTTGCTAAAGTGTTTTTTGTATATTTTTTGTATATATATATATATATATATATATATATATTGGTAACTTGCTTTTAAATGACATATTTTCCATCCACTAAAAAAAGAAAAATTTCCTGAATATGGAGTGGGGTGCTTTTAATATGCTCCTGTGCCTTTTATGCCATTATATGCGGTATGTACATGTTGAGCAACTTGAGGCCTTGAGGTTTTACATGTAAAATGTCTAGCTGATAAAAAAATTTAAATTTTAATAGATCTACTTGTAAAATCTTCTGAAAATAGCATTCTTGATATTCACTTTCTCTTTTTGAACTAATTAAAAAAAATAATCTAAAATTGAGGAAAATCCGCATGGTGTGGCCATATTGAATATTTCTGTAAAATTGTTTGTTTGTTTGTTTGAAGGCATGGAAGTTGTGAAGATTGGTGGTCCTGTTTACCGTATTGGTGTTGGGGGAGGAGCAGCTTCATCAGTTCAGGTACAAGGAGATAATAAAGCAGAGTTGGATTTTGGTGCAGTCCAGAGAGGAGATGCAGAAATGGAACAGAAGCTAAATCGTTTCATCCGTTCTTGTGTGGAACTTTATGAATCAAATCCTATCCTTAGTATTCATGATCAAGGAGCAGGTGGAAACGGTAAGTAATTCCTGAAAAATCAAATTTGACCCTTACATCTCTTACACTTCACTAAGAACTATTAGAAGAAAAATCTACTATACTAAAAAATGTTAGACTTCATGGAAGCTTTAAAACTTTCACGTACATATACACACACACATATACATATTTATTCAGCTTATCATAAACTGATGGGACAAAGTCATGCTCATGAGGATCAAATTTAGAGCAAGACTGGCTTGCTTATCACTACTGCATGGTAAAGTGACATATATTTGTTCCCTGTTAATGGCAACTGCCAAATAGACAATGTAGTGTATCAGGCATCTATTAAGTTTGCTCCCATGATCAGATTTATATTGGATTGATGGAAAGACCATTCAAACTGATTTTGCAATCAATGAAATGTCAAAATATAACATAGCACAATCATATCTAGATAAATATCTGGATAAATTGTCGTCTAAATTATGCAAAAATGAAAATAATACTGACATTTCATTTTAACAGATATATTTACCAAAATTACATGAAAATATATTGAAATACTAAAGAGTCAATAAAATCGCCACTGGCTTCAACCATGGTGTCCAGACAACTTCAGAATCTCCTGAAACTCTTCTGAACTGTCTCCTTGTTTTAATTGCTGAATGTTGCCATAATCCTTGCCTTCAGTTCATCTTTGGTGTTACAAGGAGTTTTGTTGGTGTCTTACCAAATTGTGTCCCACACATGATAATCTAGCGGGTGCAGTTAGGTGGCCAAATATAAGGGGTGGTGTGGTCACAGAAATTGTCTGACAGCCATGACTGGGTTCCCCTGCTTTTGTGGAATGGTGCAGAGTCCTGTTACCAGACACAGGGCCTTCCAGCAGCCACCCTTTTGACCCAGAGCAACACTACCTCCTCAAGGCACTTGATGTATGCATCCGTGTTGAGTCTGAAGCCCTCACCAACAAATTTAGGAGTTTAGGAGTTTTCATTAATAACCATTAGACTCATCCATATTTTTCCGAATCCTTTGCACTGTCCTCAGATTGACACCCAAATACTCTGAAATGTTTGTATTGGATGTTTCGGCATGAATGCCAAGCAGTACAGCATGCCTTTTAAATTTCTGGTGGAGTGAATTGTTTCATGGTGCTTTTTTTCTCACAGACTGTGTGCAACTGACCCTACTAGACAAAAACGAATAACGCGCATGTGTGAAATTAAAAATATAAAATGGCGACATTGCACCCTGTATATGGGATATCAAAGAAATAAAAATTAATGTCTCTTCAATTGATGGGAAATAATAAAAAGGACCAAGTTAATAAAATATGATTCAAGTACTGCAGATTATGCCAAGAAGAGAAATTAGCAATTGTTATATTAAAAAAAAATGTGGTTGCTTGACCTTATAGATAGAATGTTAGCATTCTGTTAATGAGAGCTGAATTTGGATCTCAGCATAATCAATTTGTTAAGGAGTTGTCTTGATAATATAGTCTTGGGAAGAGGATTTCAGTGTACAGAACTGTCAGGAACTTTCTGGAAACCATACATGGGTTGATCCAATTTTTGTGAGTGAAAATGGGTAGATGAAACTGTTCAGAAGTCATTGATTGTTCTGCTAGCATGAAGTGAAGGTTTGAACATAACTGGCCTGGCCTTGTTCAAATTGGTGATTATTTGTTTGCTTCCAGAAACTGTAACTAAGGTCTGCTTAGCATAGTTGCATTATAAACCACAGGTTGGCTCTGTGTGTATTTGTTTAACAAATGTAAATGTGTCTGAACAGGTATCTGCAACAGGGATTAGCTTGCCACCCTAGCAAAACAGGCAAACTTGGCCAGTCATACAAATATTCAAAAACCAGAATATCTTGTTAAATAAGAAAACTGAGATGATATCTAAGTGCAAACATGTAAAAAAAAGTATCTCAGCATGTTTCAACTGTGGTTAAAGAGGAATGGTCAATTAATGTGATTAATATATATTGGGATTAAACAATTTCACTTGCTCTGCCTGATGATCCTAAGTGTGAAACTTGCATTGTGTCTGAATTATATTGTCTGTTTATTTCTAATTCTTTGATTTATTATTGCATATATTCTATAGTTTAATTATAATAAGTACTTCTAAAAAACGTTTCTGGTTGGTCCATACTAGTCTTGTTATTTAAATCTATTAAGAATAAATGTATATAGACTGAAGATCACAATAGTATTGATTCCTATGTCCACACTATTTATATAAAATGCATATTTGCATATCTTCATATGCATTTTAAATGTCTACATGTAATCATATTTACAAATCTAAGATATTTACTAAGATTTTTCAAATGTGTAGACTGATAGACTTAATACACATTGTTCAATAAATATAAATGAGGAATCTATTTTAAATACTGAGTATCCACTATAATAACAATTGATGTAATAAATATCTTTGATTAAAAAGATCAATCAATTCTCTCTCTCTCTCTCATAATGTTATTGTTCCAATAAGCTCTTTGCTATGATACATAGACTTTTTAAATTTAAGTGCAGTACTAGAATGGTGTCGAGATTCATCAATTTACAGTTGAGCTGGTTTGATGTAGCCATAAATTTTATGCTAACAGTTTTTTTTTCTTGCACTTTTCGCTCATGGAACTCCCTTCTGGCTCCATGCTTTCCAACCAACTTTAATCTGCAAAAATTTAAATGCAATGTCAATTGCTATCTTCTGTCCTCCTGATTACTCTTTTCTCTTCCCATTCATTATTAATGTTTCTGTTCCTAATTCTTCCACACCCTGTAAACCCCTTGTGTCTTAGTGTCTTTACTGCCCTGCATGGAGTGATAACAATTAAAATTATGTGTGTATATATATATATATATATATATATATATATATATATATAATGTAAAGTGCATGTGTTTATTTGAAACAATAGAAAATTATGTTTGCAAATGTAATGAGCAGCTATATTTTTATGTTGGAATTTTTGAGATGAGGAATTGTCATTATTATATGCTTTACTGTTTGGCTCAATTTGGATGTCAAACTCATGACACTTTGGTTGTTGTATCTTCTGGGGAATCAAATAAATTTTAATCAATTCATTAGGCCATGTGTCTCAAGCAAGCTGCATGTTCAATCTGTCTGAAGTCACATACTCTGGTTCAGTGGATGAAATGGGCAAGCAACACAAAGGTCAATAAGACTTAATTATTAACCGATATGAATTATCTCACCTAAGCATAAGAATAATGAAACCTTGTAGATTGAATAAAGGATTCAGTGTGAAATTTCAAGAAGCTTATCTTGTATGAAGACTGGCAGGTACAATGGCTGAAATACTCTAAGTTTAATAACATGCTGGTTTGAATAGAATCATATAATAATAAGCTGCCTTAGTGGAAATATGTTTGCACATAGTTGCTTTTGATATTACTTTAAGTAAAAATACATAGTATTATCAGGGAACTTTTTCAATGACTTATACATATCAGTTTTATCTATCTAATATTTTTTGTAAAAAAAAATGACTAAAATTTAGTAAAACTATCAAAAATGATATTAATTCAATCACTGATACCTTGTGTTAGCAGGGCTGGTGCTAGGGTTTCCTCCCGTGAAACTTTGATATGCTCCCCCGCTGTACTACATGTTGATTTCAAAGTTTCCCAACCTGGGGACCACACGCCCTCAAAAAGAAAAATTGGGTTGGGAAGGGTAGTGCATTTTTAAAAAACAAAAAATCAAGGAATTATCCAATTTAAATTAAAATTTCAGTACATACTTTTATAATGAATAGGTTTTTCTATTTAAAAAAACTCTGAGAAAATGTTCTTTTTGTAATAAACCACCAATATTTTTGTGACAAAATTTTACTTGAAAAAATGTTTAAGTCATAAATTTTTAGATTTCCATAAAGATTGTTGATTCATCTCCACTGAAAAGATTTTTTTACAAAGATTCCAACACAACACAAACGGGATTGTTTTAAAAATTTGTTTTAAAAACAGTATTTCAATTTTTTTGGAAAAATTTCCATGGGACTAAAAATTTTACTAGCCATGGACTTTTGGTTAGTATTACTATTAGTCAAAAGAACAAAGAAAATCAGAGATCCTCTTTAGTGAATGATCTTGGAATAAAAAATGAATTTACATTTTTTAAATGATTTTTAATTGATTTAAAAGAATTGTTCAGAAAGAAAATTGCAATTTAAAAAAATAAGCTCTACTGAAATTAGAACTTCTGTCCCCGCAATCCCCAGTAGGGATGGGGCCCCATGTGGTTGAGAGGTTCAAGGTAGTAAGCACCGGCCCTGTCAGTTATTATAGTTGATGATTGACAATATAACTTAGGTAGAAAAAGTTAAAAAAAAAAAAAAAAAAAAATGCTGCTGAAACTGGCCCTTTGGAACTCCAGCCACATTGGGGGTTCCTGTGTAGTATATCCCACACTATCTGTGCTGAAAAAAAAATGGCAGAAGTCACAACAGGGCCCAAAAAAAACATCATCCCCCACTTTGGGGCTTCAGGGTTAAGACACACTGGCCCTGTCTGTTAGATCTACATAGAAACTCTGGTTAAAAGTAGTTCAATCCTGGAGCTATATTTAAACTCTGCCAATTTCTCCTTTGTCAGTTTTTGTATCAGGTGCCTGGTCAAGCCTTGTCACTTTGAACAAGAAATTGCTATTCTCTTTTGAATTTTGTATCTTCTTTTAACACTTGGTAGCAGAGTGGAGTTAATAATGGCCATATGAGGCCAACTTTGAAGGGATTTTTTTATTCCCTATTTTCACAGTATTGCTACTGAAATTTAACATCTGCGTCTTTTTCATAGATTCCTTAACAACAAGGGGATCTTACAATCCATCACATCAGTCTTAATTTTAGCTCATGTGTTAGTAATAAAATGGAAAATATTTATTAATTCCATTGTACCTGCGGAAAAGAAAAATCAACCATGTGTACACATACAATGCCATCAACTGTGTCACTAATATGTCATGAGAAAAATACTGAATCCAATGTTGACAAAGTAAAACTTAATTTCTGTAACTCATCCCTCACACACAAGTACCATTGTTGAGTTGCATCATAAAGTCTATATACAGTTTTCCTGAACTTTCATATTTTGCCATTGTTATATTCTGGAGATGGTTTCAAGAAAATCTCATCTTTGTATATCGTTACTCTGGAGATATACTGATTTTTCATCAATTGTGTGACAGTTCCATTGTTTAGAGCAGCGTTTTTCAAACTTTTTTTTGCTGTAACCCACAGAATATTTTGCATTGCAACCCATTATAGCTACGTGTCAAAGAATCAAAGACAAACTCTGTTCACTAGGTTTATTTATTTAGCATCAACAATTGATATCTATATTTCTTATGATCTGCACATATTGGAATTGTATCTGTCTATTTGTATGAATTTTTTTTTTTGATAAACCAGTGTCTTATCAGTTGAGGTGGCTGGATGTAACTGTGCTAGCAGTTTCTCCTATCACACTTCTCACTTGTGGAACTCTCTTCTGGCTTCTTGCTTCCCAGTTGGGAAAGGTTTGAATGTAATGTCAACTGTTATCTTGTCTTTTTATTTCTTGTTCTTTTGTTGTCCTTGATAGTATATTTTTCTCATATTCTCTGACACTCAGTAACTACTTGTGTCTTAATGGCTTTAATGCCTTGATTGTGGTGAAATGATTAAAAAAAAATTACTAAGAAATAACATCTTGGATATTTTTACGAGCAACACAACAAATTAAGCATGTCCTTTACACAAAGCAGAAACTGTGTTTAGCATGTTTAGTTATTTGTATTGCTTTAAATAAAACTGTAGAATGGGTGCACATGTGTATCAGAAACCATATGCACCCAACAGATATCACCTTTGTTCTGCAACAGTTAATGTATGAAATGTCTGCCATTGTTACTCTTTTACCTGATTTTGTTTTGTAGGAAATGTCTTGAAAGAAATTGTAGAGCCAGTTGGTGCTGAGATTTTTGCTGATAAATTCCAGTTAGGAGATCCTACTATCAGCATCCTAGAATTGTGGGGGGCTGAGTACCAAGAATCAAATGCCTTATTGAGTATGCCTGAGAACAGGAAAGTTCTGGAATCAATTAGTCAAAGAGAGCGCTGTCCTATCAATTTTATTGGCACTGTCACTGGAGATAAAAAGGTGAGTCTGAAAAAATGACTTATTTTAAATTTTATTTGGACAGTCAAACCTCTATGGCAAGATGGTAAAACCACTCAGGCCAGATTTTATATGTGTTGAATTTAAGTTAAGTGAATGTGTCTTCTAGAATGTGGCTTATCTCATGCATTGCTGTCAGCCTTGCTGAAATGCATCATTCTGTTTTTTTTATTCATTGCATCCACTTTGGTATCCACAAATATAAATGTCAGTGAGTACAATTTTTATTACACCGAGGAATTCAGTGACAAACCTCTTCTTAGGACTCTTTCATGTCAGACAAAATTTTACCAGATTGCTGCTCAGCAGCTTTCTGTAACCATGCAAAAAAGAGTATTGGTTATTAGCAAGAAGCTCTACTGATATATGATCAACAGCCCCTTATGGCGTGTGCCAGCTGAATGGAATAGAAAGTATTAATTTTGGAGAGGCTCTTAATGATGTTAAAGGGAGATAACTTACATTTTTAGGAAAATTTTAACTTCAGTAAATTTTGTTTTTTTTTAGATTTTTAGTCGTTATGAAATATATTTGAGATTTTCTTTCCGAAATTGAATGAAATTTTATTGATACAATTTTTTTTCTCATAGCTTATCACTGAGGAAACACTATCAACATTCTTTGTCAAGTTGAGCAAACAAAATTTATTAAAAAACACATTAAATTAACAATTTATACCTGCTATGTTGATAATGTCTGTTAATGAAAAATATGGACAAAGTTAAAAATTTGAGAATAATCTATGAAAATAACTCTGTTAATCCGATCCTCAGTTTCTTTGTTCTTGTTGTGGCCACAGGAAAAAGAGCAGCACCTAACAACAAAATAAGGGGGAAAGTTTTTCAGCATTTCATCAAACATTAAGAAGATTTTAGTCAAAATTGTTTTCTGAAATAATCAGAAATCTTTGTTAGTTAATTTTATCAACCACATTCAACATGGGAGGTAAGATAAAAAATAATAAAATTGCAAAGAACATTGGGATTAAACATTTTTGAGAATGGGAAAGAGTATTAAAGATTTAAATCATGGATAAAATAAAAAAAATTGTTTTCTGGGATCTGCAGAATTTCATTTAGTTCCACCATAATAATTAACATCAATAACAATTCTCTTTTTAAACCTATCTCTCTAAAATAAAAAAAAATAATTGCAACACCAAATCTCCTTAATTGATAAACAAATTAAATTATTTTTAAGGCAAAAATAAGAAATAAGTAAGACTATATAAAAGATAACATTAAACTATTCTATAGTAGCTAATTTCATAAAAATCTCAAACTAGAAGAAAAAAATTATAAGAAACTTAACACATACATACATATCATGTATTGACAAAAATAAATAATCACTTAAGACAAAAATCGAAAACATCTTACACACGAGTTGGCAACCTTTTAGTGTGAGTGGCCTAAAAAGCTATACAATGTTTCAGAGGAGGGGGCCTTGATATCATATGTATTATAATAAATTGTCTCAACTTCAGACTGCCCTGTCCAGAATGCTGCCTTGGTCTGGCAGTTTAAAGAAAAAAACAATGAAGTTAATGTTATATTACTTAAACATGGTTCCTTATTTTACTGCAGGAATAACAGGATAACAACTAACAAAATTAACAAAAATGTAAATTCCTTACTACAGTTAAATTGGTGGGCTGGATAAAAATCATTCATGGGTCAAATGTAGCCTGGGGGCCGGGTGGGGTGGGGTTGCCAACCTTTGCTCTAACATGATCACCAACAAAAAATAAAAACTTTAATAAACCAGTATTGTCTATGAATTCACTTGCTGACTTAGAGAATATCTCTCTAATAATAATTCAACAAAAACATACACTGGTTACACAATCTCTACAATTTCTCATCAATCAACTTGCAGTTTATTCAATAATGGCTCTATTAAATTAACACAACTATACAAGGAAATCTAGCACTTATTGCTAATACTATACTAGTTAAGCTAACAACTATTAAAACCTTAATAAAAAAATCAGCATCCATAAATTTCATTCAATTTAGAAACACATATAAAATAAAGAAGTAGTGTAGCTGTGGCAGCTATAGAACTTTGATAGGATTTAACTGTTTGAATGAAGAATAATCCAACAGGAGCACAAATAATAAGATGAGAAATATGTTTGTGATAATAACCTATCTTGCCCATCAAGTTTTTAATTTATGCTGTACTAATGGAAAATGAAATCTTATTATTTCTACTTCTATACTGTAAGTTAAAATGAATTTCTGGTTTATTGTTCTGGGAATTTGAGTAATGTAAGATAAGGGGTTTCTAATTCTTTTTCATATAATATTGTGCTTGTTTAAGTTAACTTTCCATATTTTAATCCTAGATAAGATTAAAGAATTACAGTTCAAGATCTGATGAATCTGCAGATTCTAAGAAACAGAAGCTGGAATATGAATATCCAGTCAACTTGGAATTAGATCATGTGCTTGGTTCCATGCCTCAGAAGGTAAGTTCTGTGCTTTTGTTTTTTTTTTATATTTTTACTGCTAGAAATCTTCTCTAGAAAAATGTACTCTTCTGTTGATTTTTTTTAAAAAAAATCTCTAAAGTTAAACAAAATTTTGTTTATAATAAAAACTCATTTATTTTTGCAAAGAAAAATTGTTATATAAATAAAAATTTCCACTTCTGAGTTTTATTTTTGGAATGTATATTCATGATCTTTATGACATAGTCACATACACAAGTCAATATTAATTCATATTCAGTTAGAACTCTTTAGACATTGGATATTGAAATATTGCCAATTCTTACTAGTAAGCACACTAAACAAAAATGCTTTTCTGTGAGTAAGCGTTTTTGTAATTTAATTGGGAATATGTTTTACTTGTATTATATTTTGAAAATACATTTTATTATCAGGTTTTTACTAATAAAAATAATGTGCATTTATTCAAATCAGAAGGTAGAAAAATTCCATATTGTGGGTGTTAAACTACAATATTATTTGTGAATATAGAAATTTTATCAATTCCTGTTGTCTACATCTGCTTGAGGATTTCTTTGCAATTTTGGTCAAAAGTGAAGCTTACTACTTATATAAAGATGCTTTAAATCATATCTCAACTTTTTCATGCTATTATCAGTTAAAAAGAGGCTGCATTTACTTTAATATTGTATGTAAATTACTGAAATGTATTAATGCAGTTTCCTCGTATATGTTATAAAAGCACAGTTATGTTCATTCAATTTGAAGTCTGGATATTTTCCAATATGTATTATATAATAATTCAAGAAATGTCTAGTAACACAATAAATTGTATATGTAGCCTTTAGAAAGACTCCAAGATGCTATTCTTACATTTTGGGAATTTGTCACTCAGGAAATTTTCACACATTCATGGAGCCATTCTCTGTTTTAATCCTATTGCAACTAATGTAAGATTCTGCGAAATAAGAATTGCTAATATAGTAATTCATTTCCAGCTTAGAAAATTTCTAACATGTTTAATGTATGCAAATATTTATACCGAGTTTAATTATTTAAGGTTTGTTTACAAGGTATACACTTAGACATTGTTTAGTATAAGAACCATAAACAATGCAGAATAGACATATTTAGTTGATTATTATGACTTTTATACCATTGCTTCAATGCTCAAAACTTACAGTGTAAATTGATGGTAAACATTTCTTTTTGATTTTATGTCAATCTTCGTCCTGTTGTAATTTCTGTTCATGAATTAATATATTCTAAAGTACAAGTTAAATATTTAATAAATAGTTTAAACCTGCCATAAAAATGATATCCTATTTGTGTTTTTAGGTATTCATATAAGAGTAGATAAATTGTCAGTTAAAGGGAGATAACTCTATTGTAACAAGAAATTGCAGGCATTACAGATTTTGAAAAAAAATGAATATATATGTTAAACTTTATAAGACCTTAAATTGACCTGGCCTGCTGTGTCCTGGCCAACATTTGCGTTAGTCTTAAGCAGTTTTGTCTCACTTTGAGAAGATGCATTAACATACCAAATAGTTTGGAACATTAAATCTCTTCATCTGTTTGCTGTTTTAGCTGATCCATTCTTCTACTATTGTCATGAGTGAGTGGAAAAAAAAAAAAAAAATTTTCTCACTTAACAAGGACATAAACCTTGTATTAACAACAGCAAGTATATGAAGGTGTTCGACTGTCTGAGCAATATTGGGGAAACAAAAAAGTTTGATGGCATCCCTTCCATTATAGTAAATGTTGATTCAGTTAACTATTTTTGGAAAGAGAATATAAAAAGAAAAGTACAATTAATCTTTTGCATGTGCTAATGTTTCAGTATGACAATAAAATCAATTTCTCTACAATTCCGCATACACCTTCAAATCAAAATAGTGAAGTTTACAATTTACCAAGAAGACAGAGGTTCCTCTTTAACGTGATTAATACTACATATATCAAAGAACGACAATCTAGTAAGCGTACTGAGTTATCTACCTTTGATCTATAGCACTTCTTTATACTCTTCTTAATATTATACAATTCTTGAGTCATTAGAACTATTTTTTCTCATTTTTTGTTTTTATTCAGTTTTATTCTACACCAGATGTCTGTCAGTTACCGATTAAAAAATCTTTAGCTCTTTCTAGTATTGATGGGCGTTTCTTTCTAAACCTTTTTGTTTTTGATAGTGTGGAAAGTAATATGTTATGCCTCAGATTTTGATTTGCTTGTTTTCAATGTCTTTTCTATATTAAATGTGCTTAACAGTTTAATAAAAAAAGAAATGTTCGGCAAGTTTTACATGGTCAGCGATGTTAGAAAAGACATTATTTTAAGTCTCAGAAGAAGTAACTCTTCAAATCCAATGAACTCTGTGTATTTTGTCAACCAATTACTGAATATACAAATAATATTTTAATATTTAAGTGATAGCAACATCTCTGGAGACATTCCAAAGATTTCTTGATGGGGTGGAAAGATTCTCTGGTGAGTATCAACTGGAGATAAGCACCAAAAAGATGAAAGTCATGGCAGCCACTTGGGAAGCAAGGAGTTATGCTAGGTTAAATGGAAAAATTTAAGTACCTGGGTACCATTATAAATCATGGTAGTCATAAGATCAAGGTTTAGTCAGGGTCAGCAAGATCTGCATTTAGGTCTCTTAACATCCTGTGTTAAGTTGAAGCTCCTGAAGTTGCTAGTGTTGCCAGTTGCACTGTATGGCTGCAAAATTTGGAACACTGTAAGCCACTGAAATTAACAAACTGGTGTCTTTTGACACTATATACTCCAGATAGACACTGCACATAATATAGTATAAAACAAATGAGTCTGTCATAGATGAAATGGGAACAGAGAAGCAGTTGTGAAAATGAAGTGAAAAGTGTAATACTTTGACCATGTCATCAGGGCCCAGAAACTCTACACTTATATCCTGGAGAGATGCATCAATGACAGTGGGCAATGAGGGTGGGCAAAAAATGAAGTCAACACTGACTGATGACATCTGAGATTGGGCAGGGAGAATGCTGACAGTGTGTCATTGTGAGGAAGAGGAAGCAGAGGAGAGCATTGGTAGATTTGTCCATAGTCCCTGACTCCCAGCAATGAGGATGGGAAGAAGCAAGTTATTTAAGTGAGTTGATGAAAAAAGCTAGTTCACTACTAAATAAAAAAAAAAAAAAAATGACTCTTCTTTGCTTTATATGTATATACACTCTAATGCATGAACCCCTCTCACACAGTCAGAATCCTTTGTATGTGGTGGTATCAGAAATATCCTGGAGTATGCATACTGTGACTATACAGTTTAACAGAAATGCACATGCAGCTAAAGTATATTAGTACCCAGCCTGCTGAGTTAGTCTACCAATAAACTTTGTGCTATCCATGTTCAGCTACTTATCATGTGTGGAATAATTTGCCATGGTTAAGTGCAATAGACAAAATAACTCAACAAGTGGAATTGACAAAGTTTTCAATAAACGATGAGAAGTGCATGTGGGTTGGGGTGAACAGAGCAAAAATAGTTCCTCACAAACTATTGTCTATTTTTATACTGATCCTTTCCAGTTGTCTAATCAGTTACTTGATTAGTTGAAATTCATCTTCATTTGAATGAAGATATGCTGCCTATATATATATAGGTAGGTAATAATACGTTTTTTTTGTTTTCTTTCTTCTTATCCCTGAGTTGACAAGGCATACAAGTAAGTCTTGTGGGTCAAAATAGCTATTCAAATGAGGTAACTTTGGATTTTTATTCTGTGTAATATATATATATATATATATATATATATATATTGTATTGGGGGGAAACAAATATTCATACACATACAAATTTTTAATTTATTGTATTTCCAACATGCTTTGTCCTTTAGAACTTCATTGGCCAAAATGCGTTACACAAAGCCTTTTTACATTTTGTCATACTTCTTTCCCCTAAAATTGTTCTTGAGATATATAATGCAAGTCAAAAGCAAAGCAACAATAATGCAGCAAAGATTTCACAACATAAGAATTGTGTTCACATGCAAAAGAGATATAGTCATGTGGTTATAGTGTTCTGGTTTTAAAGTAAGAAAGAACAAAAATATGAGAGATGAGACTGAGAATTGTCCATTTTTATTGTTTAGGAAGAAATTCCACCATGCATCTGTAAGATTTCTCTATAAATTTGGGGTGGGTATGTTCTTAGCAGTCATTCTCATCAGATTGGACCCAACATTATGTAAAGTTGTGTTGGAACAACTCTGTGATCTTTATGATGGCTGATAAATTTGAGTATAACAGCTCTGTGAAGCTTTGGTGTATCTACCACTTAAACCCATGAAACGCTTTATTGGGATTTTGGTAAACATTTTTAAATTGAACACAAATTTTGGAATGGCATATGAATTTCAAGTCTGATTGAATGTTGGTTTAAAATGTGCATTGACTAATCAGCAGCAAATTTAACAGTTCACCCTCTTATTTAATGATTGGAATCATGTAATGAGTAGTCAGGAGATAATGTTGGAACTTTTCTTCAATATCACCTTGTATGTTGTAGCAAGAAAGATTTTAAGTTTTAATGGCTGGACATTTTTAAATATCCCAGTCTGAAGCAGGTTGATTTAGTCGCATAAATGAACAAGTGAACAAAAAATCTTGACAGTTGAAACTATTGCTCAGGTAATTCTTTGTGATCCTGTGACATTTTTAGCCGATGAAAAGACATTGCTGATTTTTATGATGTAAATTTGATTTAATCTAAAAAAATGTAATGAAAGATATTTATTGCTTTGTATTTTTTATCCTCAGGAATTTAAACTTGAGCATATCAAGCCTGAATTGAAACCATTATCACTTCCTGCTGACCTGACTATAATGCAAGCAATTGATAGAGTATTGAGACTACCTTCAGTGGCTAGCAAGAGATATTTAACAAATAAGGTATGTGATGCATGTTTCATTATAACACTAGAGAAAGTGGCTTAACTCCTTGATGAAAGTGGATTTGGATATGTGTTGTGTGTAAAATATTCCCAGAAAGAAAATAATGGCTTTACGAGTTGTATATTTAAAAAATAATTATTCAGTCAGAATATTCTTGCTAAACATCCATACATTTCTTTCATTTTATCTACAAAATGCCTGTTCCTGTACTAAAGAATTTTTTCTGTTGAAGAACTTGCTTGTAACAAAGTAGTTTTAAGGATACTTTGAACAAAGAAAATAATCCATAGGTGAGAGGAGGAATGAATAAGTATCTTCAATTGATTTAATTTGGTTGATGTCATGCAAAGCCACTTTACAGGTAGCAAAAGGTGCAGTCATCAAGTTTTTTGTCTTGTTTCTAGAATTGTAAAAGGTGTGGAAAGGTTAACATTTTTCATTCAATGCTGAAATTAAAGTTGCTGTGTGCAATTCGATCAAAAATAAACCAGAAATCTTCTTTATGGCCGAAATGAAGAATAGGATAAAAAATTTCTAAAAATTTGAAGCACTGAACATGAATATATGAAAATATAAACTTTTAATTTATTTAATAAATAAATTTGTTTCCTTTTGATGTTGATTTCATTATTCTGACAGCAGAAATATGGATGACCAAAAGTGACAAAGTCTTTTATAGGGTTGGCAGCCACAACCCTAGTATGCTAAGAGGTAACAGATATATAAAAATTAAATACCTATATTTATTAATCCCTGTGTTTGTATGTGTACACACATACACAAATGTGGACCCTGTGTAATGGCATTGAGGAATAGTATTTATTAGTCATAAGTACCACTTTAGAGTTATATATAAAGTGGTGGTAAGATTTTTGGCATTGGAAGGTTATGCACTGATCAAAATTCTCAAACGTTTCATCATTCGGATTCTGAAACTAAAAGGCAAAATTATGGAATATTGTCACCTAGGTTCTCTGAGAGTCAGGAAATTTGAAGCAATTCCTTCAGAGCCACTTCACAAAATCTGACTAAGTGTCAGAGGTATTTGATTATCACTTCTTGATTTAATTTGGTTAATGTCATTTTTGTAGCATGAATTTTATAAGATCTATGTCTAGTGATATTATTTTACCACTTTGAAAGAAGCTTTTATGTACCAAAATTATCTTATTTTGCCAAATACACACCGTAACATTCCACAGATGATAGTACTATTGTTATTTCTCACCTGTATCCAGCTATTGTCCAGATCTTGTCCCGGTATACAAAATCATTTTTCAGTACAAATGACAAAACAATGCAAAAAACATAACATAAAAGCTAACTGCCATATGTGGAGATTTTTTTCATTGTTTCTAATCCAATTCTAATCTAACTGATTTATGGAATTTGTTTATTCAATCCTACTTAAATGATTTGAGATGTTTTCACTCAATACATTGAACTTTGCTGCAAATTTTCAGATTATTATTGATTAACGGTTTCAGTTAAACTCTCTGGCGTCCTTCATTGAAATCTCTATTGCAAAATTGTGAATACGCTATATTGCTGTTTCTTCACTAATATAATACAAGCATATTTTGAAAAAAATATATGTACTGAACAACTTTCAATATTTGCCTAAAAATCTAAAAATTAATGGAATGAAATTAAAGTTTCACTGATTAATCAAATAATTTATCAATTAAATAATATGCTATTATAAAAAGGTTGATTAGTAAGGTCTTCTATCATGTGACATTGCTAATAGTGGAGATTGAAACATGTTTGAACATTTATTTGGTAGTTTATAAAATCTTCTTTAGACCTTCTTAATGTTGGTTTAGGAATAGTATTCATTAGTCATAAGTACTACATATGTTACATATAAAGTGGTGGTAAGATTTTTAGCATTGGAAGATTATGTACTTATCAAAATTCTTGGACCATTCAACATTTGGATTCTGAAACTTGAAAGGCAATCTATGGAATGTTCTTATTTAGATTCTCTGGAAATCAGGAAATTTGTAGTAATTCCTTTAGAGACACTTCACAAAATCTGACCAAACATCAGAAGTCTTTTTGTATTTTCTCTTGGTTAAGCCAAGAACTTTTCAGTACCCTCTTGTATAATATTCTATTCTGTTAGAATTTGTTTTATTTGAAGCTTCTCCAAAATATAATGTTTTGGTTTTATAAGAAAGTTAATGGAGCCAAAGTACAAAGTTGAAGGAATAAAAAGTAGGAAAAATGCTTTTTATTAAATTACTTTGAGTCATGTTCTTTAAATTCTTATAATATCTTCCCATAATATATTTCTTTAATGTTCTTTATATTTCTATAATATATTTATATATTCATACATGTTTCAGTTTAAAAAAAAAAAAATGTTGCAGACTTCAACATTTTGAATTGTATCATTTCTATTTTTTGTTTTCTTGTTGACTTCAGGTAGATCGTTCTGTGACTGGACTTGTTGCTCAACAACAGTGTGTGGGTTACCTTCATACTCCTCTGGCAGATGTTGCGGTTACTGCCCTTTCTTACTTTGATACTGTAAGTATGATACCCACTTGGATTTCATTTTTTATTACTTATCTTTTTGTCCATAAGCTAAGCACACAGATTTTTATTACTTAAACACTAATTTTAGTGGATTGTCATATTTTTAGTGGATACTTGTTTAAGTAATACAAATTTGTTGGATTAATAAATAAAAAAATCCATTCTTTTCTTTACAAATTGCTTTGTTTATGTTTGGATACAAAACTGAGCAAATATGTCTATTTCAGCAGAGAAAACTCTGTGTTTGAAGACACTATTCAACTTTGCATGGCCATTGACACACTCTGTAGCTGAGAGGTAAAAGCATATATATATATATATATATATATATAAATACTTATACTGGTGTGAAAAAAAAACCTGAATGGTACAATTTGCAAATAAAAGTATATTTAAATAAACTGGCATCATGAAAAAAATTCAGAAAAAAGAAAAGACCAAAAACATCCTTGTTTGTCAAAAAAAATCACCCAACACTGCAATGTCAAGCCAAAAGGAAAAAAAAAAAACCCAATTGATTAAAATAAGAAAAAAATGTAAAAGTACTCAATACACTAAGTAGAGCAAAGTATAAAAGAATTCTTGTGAGCTAGGAACTAACTACCAAGATTTCACCTAATGGATCTTCAAGGCTAGTCTGGCTAAAGAGGATAGGACAAAGCAACACTTTTATTGATAAAAACAAACACTAAAAACTAAAATTAGCATAAAACCATAAAATGCAAAAAAAAAAAAAAACTTATAAATTTCCATTGATTTATTTCAGTTACCAGGCTTATGTTTACACCTGTAAAGTATTTCCGATCTTTGGTTGAGTAACATGTCGAGGGTTGCTAAAAGTAGCTATGGCTAGTTTTTCCTCCATGCATAGGAGGCAATACCTACTGCTGGCTTTATATTTTTAACATTTCTTTCTCGAAGGATTCGACCCCATTTTAAAATGGGAGATAATAAAGAAATGTTATAAATATGAAGCTGGAAGTAGATATTGCCCCCTATTCATGGAGGGAAAACTAGCCATAGCTACTTTTAGCAACCCTCAACATGTTACTCGACCAAAGAGCAGAAATCCTTAATGGGTGTAAACATAAGAAAGCCTGGTTACTGAAATAAAACAAAAATGGAAATTTATAATTTTTTTTTTTTTTGTGTTTTATGGTTTTATGCTAATTTTAGTTTTTAGTGTTTTTTTTTCCAATAAAAATGCTGCTTTGTCCTATCCTCTTCAGCCAGTTTAGCCATGAAGATCCATTGTGTTTCCTGGATCACCAGGATTTTATTTATTTATATATATATATATATATATATATATATATATATATATATATATTTCTGAGATGAGGTATACATTGTTTGGACTATTGTTCTCATCTTTAATGACATTTTGGCTGTTGTACACTCTGGCCTTCTTCAGGTGATCTACATTGGAATTTCAAACTGATCCTTTTATTTAGTCCACTGGGGTAGATTGTTCTAGTTCCATGTTCCATGCTTTTTTCTGGATATCTCAGTTTCAGTTATTTCCCTTTAATAACTCAACTCTTCAAGTTTTTGTTCACTACTGCTGTGGCCAGGAATTGAACTTACAACTCTTTGGGTCAAGTCACTGGATTAGTTTAACCAACACATTTATCCACTGGGCCCAGCATTATCTATATGTGATGAAGCTTTCTTAGAGTATTTCATTAGACAATTGTCACAATTTTTTTTGGTTTTTATTACCTAATGATAAAGAAAGCTCACTTAAATTTGCATCAGAGGTATAGATGACCGAAAGTGACAAACGCTGATATACACCACAATAGCAAAAGTATATTTCCAACATTAAAAAACCAGTATATGAAAGTCAACACTCTACAGGTTTTATATTCTTTTATAAAGAACTAAACATGGAACATAAACAAAAAAAATACTGTATATACTTGCATATCATGCAACTTTTGAAGGCCTAATTTTGAAGCTAATTTTAAGAGGGTCACATTATACATGAGATATAAAATTAGTGTATGTATTGCTAGCCCAGGTTACACTGCTGACCAAACTATATATCAATTTATTCTAGTCAAATTAATTTTAAAATTAAGTCTTCCAGCTTTGTTGACGGAGTGATGGAAAGTGAATAATTGCAACAATAACAACAATAGTATTTAGCAGAGAAAGTATATATTTACTTTCTAGAATTTCATTATATCGTTTAGTTTCTGTTATATTGTTTTGTTACATATTGTTCTATTTTTGTACCATTTTGCTTTGTTTTTTTTTTATTTAGTTTTTATATCATTTTGATATCCTGTTTAGCTGACAGGAATACCATTCTTGTATCATCTGTAGGCACCTGCTGATTTTCATATGTTGCTCATATTTGTCCAGAATTAATATATTCATGGTATATCTTTGTTAATGTTGCACAAGAAAAACCTAATTGATAGTATCCTATCTCTCTGACCCCTAAAAATCTATTCCATGGTTAAATAGTGTTAAATTCTGGCTGCATCCCATGACTGCCACAGATACGCTACCTCTTTACTTCTATGTCACCTAGTTATCTGGCTGAGTTAATTTCTACAAATCGAAGATGAAGAAACCATCCAGTTTCTACTGCCTGTTAGTTTTTGATAGTTCAATTTAAATTTGAAAAAAAAAAATATTGATAACAGTTTGTATAAAATGAGACATTTTCTTCTCTTTTTGTGATTGATTTATTTAGGTTGGTTCTGCTACCTCCATTGGTGAACAGCCTATCAAAGGTTTGGTTGATCCTGCATGTGGAGCCCGGATGACTGTGGGTGAATGCCTCACAAATTTGGTCTTTGCGAGAATTACAAATCTCAAGGTGAGTTAGTTGTTTATTAGATAGTTTTATGGTTCCTGGTTTTCGAATTTATTACTACCCCATGTCACATAATAGTTGTGACATTCTCATATATATTTCATACACTAAATGTAACAACTATTATGGGACAGTGCTATTGTAATGTTAGACCTGAACAATCCAGTATGCAGAGTAGTAGTATAAGAAAAAGACTAAAATATACTGAATAATAAATGAATTTTTTTAAGTTATAAAAATAAGATCTTTAAGAAAAGAAAAAGAAGTTTTTATGCTTTTCAAATACATTCAAGTTTCTTTCTTTTTTTTCCTTCTTTTATTTTATTTATTTATTTTTTTTTTAAAGATATAAGAAGGTAAAAAAAATTTCAATGTATAATTTCTTAAGTTGTCATCAGGGTAGGTATTGATGATGGACTTAAGGTCAAAAGATTGGGCCATATTTATTCCAAATTTAACTTTGGACAATTTCTGACCAAATTTCTACTTTGTCTGAGGAGGATTATACGTAATTTTGAAAAATTGATGAGTAAAATTAATCCACACACAATTTTGTTGTTAATATGTGTCTAAAAGAACATATACTGTCTAAATATGCAGAATATATATATATATATATATATAAGTTTCATTAAATATGACAGATAAGGTGGTTTGATTAAGTTTTTAATAGAATTTTTCATGTGGTCTTATAATTTTTTCTTTTCAGTAGATAAATTATATAAAAACTGTACAAATGTTGTTTTTTACAAGTGCTTTCAGGTATATCTTAGCTATTTTCAAGGTTGAAATATATTAACTATTAATCAAAGCACCTTGTCAGTCATATTTAATGAAACTTGAATGAAAGAATGATTGCTGTCTAAATGCACTATATATGTATATATCTATATCTATATATATATCTATACATATCTATATCTATCTCTCTCTCTCTCTCTATATATATATATATATATATATATACACACAGCAAAAAATCCAAAATTACTTTGTTTTTATAGCCTATTTCAGCCAGCGCAACCCTGCACGAGTCTTCTTCAATCCTAGACTGAATTAGTTTCAGGGATTTAGAATTTAATTTAAATAACAGTCAAGGAAAAGATACTGAACCTACCCAAAATGACTGCTCTGCTAGATAAAAAGGCCAAGTTGGTGGTAAGGTACATTACATGAGGCAATTTTTGATTTTTTTTGCTTTGTAATATATATGCTCTGTTATAATAAATACATTGACCTCTTTTTGTGGATCAGTTTTAATATTTAATATTACTAGGATCCACCTGGATTGTATATCAATGGATCTATTACCTGTACTATATATATATATATATATATATATATATATATATATATATATATATATATATATATATAATTAAAAGGTTGTCACTTAGCTGATTGATGTTACCTTCAGCATCCTGACTCCAGAATTTTGTAAATGGACCCGTCCATCCACTTGTCATGGGGTAACAGCAATTGACTGCTTATACATCTCAATTTTTCTTTTTTATATGCACTTATCATTTTGCAAGTTTTTTTTTTTTTTTTTCAAAGTGTATGTGTGCGTTTAGGTATGTGCCTGTTTACTTACCTATAGGGTGTCATGATAATTTGTCTTTTTTTATTGTGTTTTTTTTCCACTTTACACTCACTCCTTAACCTTTCCTCTCTCTTTTCATTTTTTTTTTTTTGGTAATTGTTGCCATTTGGCTTCCAGTTTTTAAGGAAGCATCAAAAACTTGATGAGTTTCAATAAATTTGCAATAATTGTCAGAGGTCAAATTAAGAGTTTTTTTGCTCTTTAAGACACATGCTTTGTGCTTTGATTGAAAATTTTAATTACAAAAACTGCTTGTCTTAAAAAAAATACACTATCTTCGAGAGATTTTTTGTGTCATTGTTATATCTCACTATTACAATATGAAAACTGATTCAACAATTAAAGTTTATTTCTGAGAAAAGATTTATTTAGACTGAATGTTAATATCTTGAATTTGTCCTATGTATTGCAATTACTTTAGCATACTTAATTTTAATTCTTGCAGGATGTAAAATGCAGTGGAAACTGGATGTGGCCTGCAAAACTCCCTGGGGAAGGTGCAGCTTTGTATGATGCATGCAAAGCCATGTGCAATGTAATGAAGGAACTAGGAATTGCAATTGATGGTGGCAAAGATTCTTTGAGTATGGCAGCACGTGTTGGGTCACAAACAGTAAAAGCCCCTGGTAAATGCTATATTTGATAATGTATAAAACTCACTGGCATCTAAGACACTGGCAGGGAATATTAAGAAAAGGTGTTTTTAAGCATTTGACGTTATTTGAAATTCATAGATATAGCAGAAGATTTAGTATAACAGAGAAAAAAGACTTGGATAAAACACGCAACTAGGATAACAGGAAAATCTTTTAATAATAATAACAACATTTTAGTAGTAGTAACAACAATACTATGAGTTTTCAGTAGATGGTGGTAGTAGGCACTATTGGCATTACTCAACATTATCATCCTGAGTTACTTTAAAAAAATATTAGTGATTTTATAGATGAAAAATGAGCTTTTATATATATATATATATATATATATATATATATATATATATATATAAAATATCAATAATAATATTTTTAATCATTTGGATGGATAATTCAAGGAGGATATAAATCCAAAGAGAGCTCAATGTAAGAACAGAGCAAATAATAATGATGAAAGCAGAGAGAAAGGCTGATTATCAATCTCATCTCATCAGACAAGACGTAAACTGTTTTAATAATAATACTATTCAAGTAGTAGTAGTAACAACAATACTGAGTTTTCAGTAGATGGTGGTAGTAGGCCATGTTGCACTATTGGCATTACTCAACATTATCATCCTGAGTTACTTTAAAGAACTATTAGCGATTTCTATAGATGAAAAATCGTTTGCTCTGTTGAGACAAGATCAGTAATCAGTCTTGCGAAATAAAATATTACCATGGGTTTCTAAAGTCTCCCCTTTCATCATTTTATATATATATATATATATATATATATATATATATATATATATATATATATATATATATATATATATATATATATATATATATATATATATATATATATATATATATATATATATATATATATAATATATATATAATATATATATAATATATATATAATATATATATATATATATATATATATAATATATATATATATATATATATATATATATATATATATATATAATATATATATATATATATATATATATATAATATATATATATATAATATATATATAAATATATATACATATACAAAATATATAAATGCAAAATATATAAACATATACATACATGCATACATACATATATTTTTGAATAAAATATTCCAAGAGGATAGAATCAGGTAGAACTCAATGTCCAGGACAGAGTAAGGATATAATAAAAGGCTTAAACACTAATATTCCATGGTCATAATTTATTCCATTGGAATCGTAAATACGATCAATTCATCAGACCTAAAATTCAAAAGAAAACAGAAAAAACAACTCCAGAAATAAAAATAGAATTTAGAGAGATATAGTAGTAGAGTGTGGGACGAATGTTAGAGCTAAAGAGGGGTAACAGATGAGAGAAGGTGGGAGATTAAAACTTAACAGAGAGGAGTTTTAGAGAGGTGAGTTGAAGACGGTTTAAGTGAGAGAAATATGAATGTTGTCGGATGTCTAATACATTAAAGATGTAACCGGAAAGGATACATTTTGTGGTGACATACACACACAATAGACAATCTAATCTTAAAGATCAGAAGAAGAGGGAGGGAGAGGAAAAGAAAAGAAAAAAGGGTGGGTGAGAGAGATGGGGTGGGGTAAACTTAAACTGAAGGGCATTTACTTGAAAGGCTGCTGTGTAATTAAGAAAATTTGACAAAATTAATATATATATATATATATATATATATATATAAGCTCTCTTTAATGAAGCTTGCACACACACACACACACACACATATATATATATGACATGTATGATATAGACAAAGATTACTTTCAGAAATGTTCTTTGTAACTTAATTTTCTGACCTTTTATCTTTATCTACACCATGAGTGAAAATTTTAATCTATAGAGCATGTATTAAATCATTTTTTTGTTAACTGGTGAGTTATGACAAAAATGGGAAGACTTTTTCATATTTATTCAAATTAGATAAGATGGTGAAGCTAGTTGAGTCTGAGCTTCAACCAGTCTTACCTGTGATAAGATAATTAAATAAACAGGTAATTAACTTTCTTTTTCTTATTAGAGATCTCAGTGCTTTTTTCTTTTGCTATTCACTGTTTCTAACACTTGTTGCTTCTTTTAGATTGTTCCAGAAAAATAATAGTTAATCAATTTCTCACCAGACACTGTATCTTTTTTTTGTTTCCAGGTACTCTTGTGGTCTCTGCCTATGTTGGTTGTCCAGATATAAAAGCTACTGTCACCCCTGACTTGAAATGTCCACAGGGTAAAGGTATGGATTGGTTTTAAATTTCTTAATTACTCAATAGGTTTTGTCTATATGTATGGTTTTGTTGAACACACAGATTGATTTTTTGTACTCAAATGAATTTTTGTTTCTGTATAAAAATAATTTTTTATTTTTATTTTTTTTTTGTAGAGTAAACATTTTAGAATTTAAGTATCGTTTACTGGGTGAATTAAAAGTATCTTGCCAAAATTTCTTTGTTCTCTGTTCTCAGCATGTCAATACACTCCAAATAAACATTCCTGATTTGATTGCTCATTTGCAAAAACAAATCTTTGTGATTCAACAGTTGAAAAAAAAAAATTTTGGTAAAGAGCTTTTCAATCATTTTCCTATGCATTGATATTGTTCTATTGTCAGAATTAGTCCCTTGATGGCTTCAATCCTCAGGGTGACCTAAGAACAGAAGAAACAAATGGCATGCTCCAAGAGTTCTGACATTGTCATGTCCATTCACTCTTTGATGTTGTCTGACCAGCTTTTGTGTCCACCTTCAACAGAGCCTTACATGATCTTGTAGAGGCTGTTATGCCAAGTGACCTGGCCAAATCATAATCTATTTTGAGGCTTAAAAGAGTGGAAAGAGAGATTCTTGTGAAACAATAAGACTTTGGACCTTGCTTTGTACATAGTCATTGGTTTTGTTCACCCAGTAGGAGATGCTGAGGAGATTTCACAAGAATTTGTTCTCGAAAGCCAGGGGCCTTTTTTTTCAGTTTCAACAAGGAGTGTCAAAGTCTCACACCTATAGAGGATGATGGATACGACCAGAGATTTGTAAAGCTTGAACTTGGTATGGAAGCTGATGTTGTGCTTCCATATCCTTACCAGTTTGGCCATCACTGCTGTGTCTGTGGTGATCTGTATTGCAGGTGCCATCTTTTGACAGGGTTGCTTCCAAATATTAATATTGCTATAAGAATTGGCTAATACAAGATGGTTAAAATAATTCCAATTCTAACTTTTTCTTTATGACTTTTCTGATGAAGAATGCTAAATATTCACTTTAGAATATCTTTTTTGAAGGCAATTCTTAATGTAATCTGATGCATGTAGTTTCCACATTATGTTTTTATATTGTTGAATAACCAGAACATTTTAAACTACAAACATTTTTCTTGTAAAAAAAAACCAAACATTTTTCATAGACACTGTTATACTCTTGGACACTGTAGTCTAAAACTATGCAAAAGGAGAGACTATAAATAGTCTTCCCTAGATAGAAACAAAGATATAGTCTGTATTCAGTTTATCTGATTACTTTAGTAATGATTGCTACAATAATCTGATGTTGAAAAACTCAAACTTTTAATGAATCCAGGAAAACATAAGTGATCATTCATTTCAGAGCATTTGAAGAATGTATGTTATGTACAACAGGTATATTTATTTAATCTATTAATTCCATTCTTGTATATCTTCTAAAGGTAATCTTTGTTTTGCATGATATTTAAGAGTCTTTCTTCTCTAATATAGATATTAGTATCAATCAAGCCTTAATATTTATTAAACCTCGTAAAAGAAAAAAAAAAGGAAATATAAAATTTGGTATCAGGATTTCAAATCTTGGAAAGTTTTAGTTTTTTCAGTAAAATAATTTTTATCAGAATAATAAAACTCATACAAATTACATCAGTGTAAGGATATATTAATGATATTACATCAGTGTAAGGACACACAAATATATATACATATATATATATATATAGCTTATAGTTGTAGCCTCTGTCTTTCTCTCTGTTTGTTATCAAATGCCTCCTAAGATTTTGGAGATGGACTCTCATAACCATGTATATTCTGAAACCACATTACCCAGAGTACTTGGATAAGTATATTTAATTTTGATCAAAGGTGGTCCCTGGATGTCACAAGCCCCTACTGAAAATTTTTTTCCTTTGATTGAAATTAAATTTAAATTTGATCAAGGGAATGACTGTTGTCAAAAATATAGAAGGAGAAAGCCAGAAGATGGAGGTCACATTGGCAAGATCATTCAGTAATATTGAAATGAAAATTATAACAATGATTCAAAATCAGTCATCATTTTCTTACAAAAAAAAATGTGTGACACACAGAAAGGCACTGGTAATTTGGCTAGTTAATAATATTATGTCTGTGTAAGTATATATTGATAATTTAAAAGAGTTTCTTTTAAAAACTGTTTTTCCCAGGTATTCTTCTGCATGTTGATGTGAGTTGTGGTAAACATCGTCTTGGAGGATCAGCTTTGGCTCAGTGCTTCAAGCAGATTGGAAATGAGGCTCCTGACCTAGATAGGCCAGACTTGTTTATAAATATGTTTAATGTCACTCAACAATGCATTGCAGGTAAGTGTTCAGTTTTTAAGAGATTCTTCTATGATATGTGTCCCTTCAGGCTGTGATAGATCATGGTTCTCAATAATTCCTTGTCCTTTGTAGCTGTTAGTAAATTTTGTCTTTTTGATATCTCTCCTAAATCTTGTTCTGTCAGCCATTTACACAAGCTCATTATGTGCTGTTTTCCTTTACCTTCAATATGTCCTGTGAGTACCAAATTTTCTAATCCCTCTTTCCTCATTATGTACTCTAGAAATTTCAACTCTCTTTATCTGATGTTAAGTATAAGTGTCTATTTTTTCCTTTGTTTTCTGAAACTTAATCATTGCTCACATGTTCAGTTGATGGTATTCTCAGCATCTTTCTGTAGGACCACATTTCTGTTGCTTCAAGTCTCTTCATCTGTGAGGATATTGTTCAGCATTCACTGCTATATAGGACTCCTCACATTACATAACAGTTCAATCCTCTTTTTTCTTTGTTTCAAATGAAGTTTTCCTGTTTTTTAATACTTCACTTAGCTTTTGGAAGGCACCTTTCACTATCCAAATACACCTTTGGATTTTGTGCCACACTTTCCATCCTCCTTTAAAATGGTTCCCAGATATTTAAATTGTACTTGCCTGATTTTGGTATCTCCAATTTGTAATTTGCATGTTGGGCTGTTCCTTTTGTTGACAATCATACATTTAGTCTTGTTGCAATTGATGTTTAGTCCTTTCTTCTTGCTTTTCTTCACTACCTTCTTTAGGAGTTCCTGTAATTTAATTTCTGTATCTGCTATCAACACTGTGTCATCTGCATATCTAATATTAAGATTGTGGTCACCAATAATGGATCCTGGTAGGACTCTCAGAATCATCTCACTGTACTAGTTGAATAAATCTGGTGAGAAAACATATTCTGTCTTAAACTGCTTTCTATTTTTGTATATTTACTGAATTCATTTTCTGCAGATGGTTTCCTCCTAGTAGAAGTTTTGATTATATAAGTGAGATATTTTATCAAATGCTTTTGCATTTATCTTTATATAAAATTCTGTAACTTCCATTCATTTATCACACCTTCTACAATAGCCATACATTGACCGATTGAAGCCAAATTTGGGGGAAATGTGAAAACAGGTAAGAGTATGATAAATTTTCATTAATCTTTTGGGAAAAATTAAAAGTTTTATTATTTACCATATAAAATACTCCCTCTATTTTAAAAACAATGTTTAAAATAAATAATTTGCTTCTTGACAAAATATGTTAGTGATAACTTCAACAATGCTGTGAGGATTTAAACATGCTGATGCTGTTGAAAAAAGATTCTTGTAATTTATAAAATGCAGGTATACATTCTTTTGCATTTTAACAGATTACACTGGTTATAATATCTTGACTCATTTGATGGGAATGAATAGTATTTTAGATTTTCAGAGAAAATAACTAGAGTCTATTTTATCATGATAATTATATTCTGATGAGTAAATAATTTTCATAATTCTTCTAACTTTATCCTTTACTACATCAACAGGGTTAACTCATCATCATTCTCTTTGTATTCCATTGGTAAAGAAAAGTTTCATTCAGACATCTTCTGTTAGTTTATGGCACAGATTCCTGAGAGAATGCTTCCCTGATCACTATGATCCTAGCCTCGTCTGGGATAAACATTTATCTATCCTACATGTCATCATAATATGTGCTTCTTACTTGCACCTCTTACAACAACCTCATTTAGTAACTCTCTTGTTGTATTGGCAGAACAATAGTAAAATAAAATTCATAATTTACACCAGTTTTCTTTATAATTCAACTGGCACCATTCTTAAGTATTTCTAATGGAAAGCCTTTTGTCAATCTCCCTTGGGGATTTGATAACTTATTTTATCTGACAGTAAGATATTATAAAGTAGTCTTAAAGTTCTGATTGATTTTAGTAAAGAAATTCAATAAGGAATTTATCACATATTTTTGCACCATTTGTTATTCATGGTTTTTCATGCAGAAATTTCAATGGACTCCTATGTGCCACATCTATTTATTTAGGATATAGGTGATCGTAGCGCTTCACTGCTTCCTTTTCCTTGTGACATTTAATAGTTTTTCTCCCTTTTCTAAAGCCCCCCTGGTCTCTGTTGTGTCATCCATTCACCCAAACTAATCAGACTCTTTCTTCACTATGTATTCAAACTGTCTTTTCCTGATTCTGAGTATAACTGTTCTTTCTGTTGTCATTTTTCTTTCTTGTTGCTTACTCACTCTGTCCATAGAATTCTCAGTATCCTTCTGTAGAACAACATTTCTGTTACCTCCAATTTCCTCTTCATCCATGGGGAGATTGTTCAGCATTCACTGCCATATAAGAGGACGGATATCACGCAGCAATCCAGCACTATTTTTTTTTGTTTCTAATGAATTTTTTCCGTTTCTCAGCACCTTTCTTAGCTTTTGGAATGCTTCTTTTGCTATTCCAATGCATGTTTGGATCTCAGTACTGGGTTAGTTTTACTTAACTGTTAGCCTCTCCATGAACAACTCTGATTACTGAACTGATGTCTGAATTTCACAGTTGTCATATTCTGTTATGGCATCAATTAAAACAGTCATGACTGAAATTGTAAACTTGACTTCTGCATCTGACAATGGAAGGAGAACCAATAATTATGAATAAATCAATACTAAAGGTTAAGGATAGAAAAATAAACATTTTTGAATTTATTTACGTTTATCATAAATAGTCAATTTATAGATTTGAATTAAATTTCGTCTTCTACATGATTAAAAATGGTTCTTTTAAAAATAATAATAATAATGTTGTGTTTCTTCAAAGTCAAAGTGAGTATAGTATAGTATTTACCTGTTATTTTAGTTGTTTTTCTGTATTTTTCATTTCTATGAAAACTGATCACAAAATTACTTTTCAATTTTGCAGAGAAATTAATATCTGCTGGCCATGATGTAAGTGATGGTGGCTTGCTGACTTGTGTCTTGGAAATGGCCTTTGCAGGAAATGTTAACATTAATCTCAATTTTGAAGGCTCAGCTGATGGTGAGTGATCCACTGTTTTTCCTTTTTGGTTTTTCTTTTCTCAATTTTATTGTTATAAAAAAAGTACAATACTGACATATTCAGTATCAAATGACCATGTCTTCATTCTGTCCTCCACCCACTGCTGTGACTAACACTTGATTTCCAATGATGCTATGTTAATATCTGATGAATTCTCATAGCTTTATACTTAGCATGTCAGACAAAAAAATAAAACAAAAAGAAGTTACTCTAAAAAAAATAAAACAGGCTTCTGAAAGTATTAATAAAAGTTAAATAGGAATTAATGATTTTTTTGCATGCAAGATTTATTGGAATTCTGAATTTAGCAGGTAAAAAACATGTTTTTGGGATTTCTTCTCTTTCAGCATTCGTTTCTGAGTTGTTCTCTGAGGAACTTGGTTTAGTACTGGAAGTTAGCACTGATAACAAAGACAAGGTGATGAAGATGTATAAAGAAGCTGGTGTCCATTGCATTCAAATTGGCTCTTGTTCTGAGAGTGAGGAAAAATCTCCCCAGGTATATAATTTCTTATACAGTGTATCTTTATTTTACACATGATTTTCTGTTTGTTATTTGAATACATCATCAATATTTAATAAATTTACTTTTTCATATTAATCTCTATATATTTAACATATTACATTAATAATATAATATTATATATATTAATAATATAATATATATTAATAATAATAATAATTATATTTAATATATTTTATATATATATATATATATATATATATATATATATATATATATTTAATTATATATACATTTAATAATATTAATATATTACAATTATTGCATTGTGTTTAGCAGTGCTCTTGTATATATATAAAACAGAGAATGTCTGTGTTTCTGTCTGTCTGATAGCATAAAAAATCGATGATTTAAAAAAATCAATAATCAATAAAGCCGATCAAAAACGATAAATTCAACTTTTTCCTCAAATTTTGTTCAAACTTGGTATCTAGGTTACTTACATAATGACAAGCTCAACACTACCTCATTTTTATTTCTATGCCACTGCATTTAGTAAAAATATGCAAAAAATGAAAAATCAATTTTAACACAAAGCTTAAATTAAAAACTCCCTCAATTTTCAAGCAATCTAATACAAACTTCACTCAATTGTAGCCAACAATAAATTGATTGTTTAACAGTCACTTAACTTGTTAATTGAGTCCACCCATATAGTGAAAACCCATGTAAATAGCAAAAAATGGCAATTTTTACTGGTTTCTTTGTTATTGATCTTTCAACCAATTTTCATCAAACTTAACAATTGCTTTATAAATGTATCCTCTTTTACATCCCTGGTAGCATACTGACAAATTGAATTTCAAAAGTTCCAAAATAAGTGTGGTCTGAAGTGGGTCTTCATGTTGTCTGTTTTACTCCTTCATGTCCTCAGCTAACTTTCATTGAATAAATACAGATGACTTTTGTTATATCAGTAACTGCATTAATTTAAAATGTTTTTTAATGAAAGTACATTTTTTTTATCTTTCTTTCCTCCTCCTTCTATGCTACTCCGTTCACCATATGGTTTTTAATTTCCCTCTTGAGTATCCCACAGAGCTCCTCGAGGGGTTGATGCTCCTTTATCCTTGCCCTTTTAAAAAGTTTCTTAAGGAATCATTTCTTTCCTTAAGTCTTTAATTCTGTTTGTCCTATGGTTGGCAGTGTAGGGTGTCTTTTGCTAACAGGGCTCGACGAAACCAAATCTGACGCCATGCTAGTTATTATTATCATCATGAAATTTAGTTGCCTATCCATGTCTCCTTTTGTAGCTGACTGGAGTATCTTGCAAATGTCAGTGTTGAAATCCTGTCAGGCCCCCTTGTTGTTCGCTGGGGGCCACTTTATCCTCTTTCAGGACTCTTTGCCCCGAGTGAGAGGAACTAAAGCATGGAGAGACTAGACTTTGTGGCATGACTGCAGACCCCGCACCTCCTCTGTTTTACCAGGGATTGTACCTGCACATTGCTCCTGGTTTCCTCTCTCAAGGCATTTCATCCAGCTTTGATGTATCTTCAAGCCTCTCTGATTTTTGCAAGTCTTACCGCATCTGCATCTGTTCATAGTTGATTGGGCATTTTTTTTGTTTGATTCCAATAAATCCGTCCTGTTGGGGGATCCCCCCCCCCTGTCTCTCGGGATCCCCCAGAGGTATGATGCATATAGGTATGTTGTAGTATTTTTGGGTTGCTCCTCACGGAGCATCCAAATTGAGTAGATAATCTGTCTTTCCGGGATGCCAATTGTCTCTCCAGTCATCACCAAGTCTATTCCCTGGTTGTCAACTGGTCTGTTCCCAGTCATCACTGTTAATACCAGCGTTTATAGTTGCATAATACATTTTAGATGCATCAAGGGTGGTTTTCAGTGATGCACTGTCCTCTTTGCCAATTTCAGGTTTTGCATCATATGCTACCTACCTTAATATAAATGAACTGCTTCTGCTAATAACAGACCTGTTACTGGTACTTGTTTGCCTTCAGGAAGCATTCCCTAAGCAAAATGACAAACTGAATATAAAAGAATACCATCAATACATCTACACACGTGACACTGGGCGTTTAGTGTCAGGCAGTACATCTATCCTAGTTAGGAATGATGTAACTAAAATTAAAATAAATTTAACAACTTTACAGGTGACTGCTGTTTAAGTGACCTTTACACTGGCCAATAAATATCTGCTCAGTATATATCCCATTGAATGAACCAGTAAATGAAGCTGAAATTTAAGAAATCATAAAGCAACTCCCTGCACCTTTTATGATACTAGGGGACTTTAACTGTCATAGCAACATATGGGGTTGTAAGGACACAAACGAAAAGAAACAATAATTAATAACAATGATTACTGCATTTATAATGATAAAAATGCCAACTTACATAAATTCATTCACTGGCAGCTACTTGGCAGTAGACTTATCTCTATGTGATTCATCAATTTACATGGATTTCTCTTGTAATGTACTAGCAGACACATGCAGTAGTGATCTTGTCAATCATCCTACAAAACTCTGAACATCATGACAAAAATCCTCTCTACTGGAAATTAGGCAGAGCAAACTGGGAAGAATTTAAAAACCAATGTTCTGAAAAACTAGTTGAAGGAAAAAACATCAAGGACTTAAAACAATTCACGGAAATCCTCATCTCTTTAGCAAAAAAATGCATTTCAAGAAATTCAGCAGCAAAAAAAATGGAACAGACCTTGGTTTAATGATAAATGTCAAGAAGCCATCAGACTAAAAAGAGCAGCTCTGAGAGAATTCAATAAACAACTTACAGCCTCAAGAAAATAACATTTATTAAAATTTTGTTCTCATTTGTTCACTCACATATTCTCTTATACATAAACACATAACATAAGCAATGATTAAATACAATGTTTCATGAATTTTTGTAACCTTTTGTTGATGATGACAGTCTTCATTATTTTCAACCATTGACAATTTTTACTAAGGAGGATCATACATATAAACTTCATTTGCTGTAGAAACAGGAAACATTCATAATATTTTTTCTCTAGATATATACTTAAAATATATATATATATATATATATTTGCATACTCCAATGAATAAATTAGAAACAAATGATATACAATGGTGTATATTAATCACATTTGTTATCAGTGATAATATTATACCAAGACTTCATTTTTTTTTTTTAATTATAAAATAACATTTCCTACAAAAAAAAGTCAAATTTTTCTCATTTCTATGGCAGATACTTATACATGTGATTTTGTGTGGTGGAAAAAGCTGTAGCACCATCAATAAAAAATCAGCTTGAATTTTTTAGTAGCAAGACCCACCTTATGATTATGATTGTATTACATGCGGCCCAGTGCTGGAAAAAGGTTGCCTATACTTGATCTATACATATGGTTGTTGGTTTAAGTGAATGACTATTGTGAATTCAAAACCAAGAAGAAAGCAGAAACCTACTTGACTATATTTCCCAAGAAGTCAAGATGCATTGATACATATTGAAAAGAAGAAACTGGAGAGTCATGATTGTTTGTATCATGAAGAGACATGGCATTAAAAAAGAAAAGAAAAATATATTATAACAGATATAGCTTATAGGCCATATTACGTTGAAACATTGGTTCACATATAATCACTAAAGTTAATGTTGAGCTTGATTAGTTTCAAGATGGGTGACTGCTTGGGAATACCAGGTGCTGTAAGCTTGGATGTGCTGATGGTGAGATGGATTATGACATGGAATTGTTAATTGGAGAGCTGAGTTCCAATTCCAGTTGGGTTCATTACATTCACTTACATGCAAATACCTTTGCAAAAGGTATGAATCCACCTCTTCTCCTCCATCTATGAGTTAATTAACAAGATATGTATCCCTAAATCATTATGTACAAAAAAAATTTTATAATTTAATATTTTCTGGCTTTAAATAACCTGCAAATGGTTAATAAGATGTAAAAAAACAAATCAATCAATCAAACTGATTTTGCTTGAACATTTATTAACGATTATAATTTTTAGGTTTTGCTTGACTTTGGACTAATCATGTTGATTCCAGATTTGGTATTATAGAAAATGAAGTCTTTTTCTTAATGTTTTACTATTTCAGGTGCTAGTCAGATTTTCTGACAAACTTATTTTGGACTCTTCACTGTCTGATCTACGTAACATTTGGGAAGAGACCAGTTATCATTTAGAGAAGCGACAAGCTAATCCTCATTGCGTTGAAGAAGAAAGAAATTCATTTATGAAAAGAACACAACCGCAATTTAATTTGGTTTTTGACCCAAATACTGTCTATGATGTCAGTTCTTCGAGTAAGATTTAATTTTGATTTTTGATCTAGATTTTTGCTTATCTATGATTCTAAAGTTGTAATTGTTTCAAATGTAATTTAAAAAGAATTTTTTTTATTGAGCAATATTTTTTATCATTAGCTTAGTCTGGCACAAGGCCAACTACAGCTGCAGCAGAAATACCTCACACATAATGGTAAGACATTAGCTAGATGAAGACACCATTGCCACTAATGTCTTACCATTATGTGGGAGATATTTCTGCCATGCTCTGGACAATCAGTGGTCCAGGAAAACTAGTTTAATGATTGCTGCATGTTGGTTTTGCTATAAGTATGGACATATGTAGAATTAGACTTAACAACGGGACAAAGTGTACATAGGTCTCATTTTAATTGCTGGTATTTTCTCTGAGTTTGAGTAATTGATCTTTCATTGGAATAGAAAAAAAATCAATGAGTTTTACTTGTTGCTGGACATCGTATGTCGCCATTTGAATCTCCAAGGGATGCTCTATAACCTGCAAAAAAAAGGAAATGAAAAATATTGAAAACAAACAAGTTATGACGTTTTCAAACCCTTCAGTTTTTCAGTGGTCACCCTATCTATCTATCTATATTTTTTTCCCTCTCTAAGCATTTCACCCCAAGTAAAGTGGAAGTGCCATTGGTTTACAGGGGGTTTCATAGAGTGAAGGTGTGAGAAAAACTGTGTATAGAGGGAATGAGGAAAGGATAAAAGATGAATGGGGTTCAAGATATCAGAAGATGGCGATTGATGTTGCATTTAAATTTTTGAAGATTGGAGTTATCAGGGAAGCAAGTAAATGGAAGAGAATTCCACAGGTGAGAAGTGCAAGAAAAGAAACTGTTGGAGTAGAAGTGGCAGTTACATTTAACTATTTCAATGGTAAAAAGATGGGAGCTAGATGCCAGTCTAGTAGCATGATTAAATTTATGTAGTCAGGGCACCAAGGAAAAAAAGCTGGACAGAACAGTAGCCATAGAAATATTTGTAGAAAAGACGGAGGGAAGCCACATCACGTTTGTGAGAAAGCAACTGGAGTTGAGATGGCAATTTAGGATCAATTACATTGCAGATTCTTTTTTGGATTTTGTTGAGAACCTCAAGATGAACAGTTGGGGCACCAAACCGGATATGGCAACAGTATTCAATGCATGGACAAATGGTAGATATGTAGGATGGACTCTGACAAGAAAAACCTTCTGGCATGACACAGTGAGCAAACTTTCCTTGCAGCAGATGCAGCTATTGATACAAAGTAGTTGTTCTACTTCAAGTCATTTGAAAGCATAAGGCCAAGAACGTACAGAGAGTTCAACCATGCTAACATCAGGCAGGGAAGTATCTCTATGTTAGCTAAATGAGAGCAGGTTTGTTTTGGAGGCATTAAAATTTACAAGCCATTTCCTAACTCAGTTAACCACTGATTTGAAGATTCTTTTCAAGAGCAGCAGCCATGTTCACTTTGTCAGTACTGGCGGTTTTACTATTGAGAGGAGTAAATGGTAGTGTCATCTGAATAGATGCCTACTTGGGAGTTGATGACATCAGGAAGATCATTGATGAAGATTGGAAACAGTGTAGGACCCAGGATAGAGCCTTGGGGAACCCCTGCATTCATGAGGAAGGATCTGAAAGTGTACCCATTCAGAATGACCTTCATTTCACAATTTGAAAGGAATGATTGGATTAAAACAAATAGTTATTCTGTAATATCGTAACCCTGAAGCTTATGCATAAGACCAGCATGCCAAATTCTGTCAAATGCCTTGGATATCCAGACCCACAGCTCAAGCTTCGCCATTCTTATCAAGATCATGATTATATATATTCAGTTATGGTTGTGAGCCCAACAGTGGTAGGTTGGGCAAAGTGAAATCCATATTTTTTTGTCAGAGAGTAGGTCTTGAGAGGTAAGATGCTTACCTACCTCAGCATTGATTAATGACTCACAGACTTTGCTGAAAAGTGGTAGGAGACTGATAAGGTGATAGAAGGGTCAGGAGGTTCATCAGCGTTCTTAAAAATAGGAACTACAGACAATGACTTTTAACAAGCTGGAAAGTAGAAAGCATTGAGGCAATAATTATATAGTTAAAAAAAATTATATTAATTATAAGTTAAAAAAACAAAAAACATTATTAATTATAGGTTTAAAAAAAACAAAAAGCGATATTAATTATAGATTAAAAAAAATAAAACCGTATTAATTATAGGTATCTATTTACAACTGTCCCAAATATAGAACAGTAAATATTAATGACTTAATTAAAAAAAAAATGATAATAAAGTACTTTGCTTATGGTCTTGAACAAAACTTGTATTGCTTTTTGAATATACATCCATATATGTTTTTTTTTGTACATATAAATTTAACTTATAAATATCTATACTTTTGTCAAGGTTTGTCATCACAAAGGCCTAACATTGCCATATTGCGAGAAGAAGGAAGCAATGGTGATCGTGAGATGGCTGCAGCTTTCCATTATGCTGGCTTCCAGACTTGGGATGTGAACATGGAAGATCTTTGCAGTGGTAACATCACTTTGGATCGTTTCAGAGGAATTGCCTTTGTTGGTGGATTCAGTTATGCTGATGTCCTCGGATCAGCTAAAGGTTAGGGAACTTAAATCTTACTTTGCTTCCTACTCATAATGATAATTGCTGAAATAACTGTATATTTCACTCTGAGGCTAGAGGTTGCTGTTTGAACCCAGGTCACACTGTTTTTATTGCAACCAAATTTTTTTTCTTGTAATTTAAAACTTTGTTTGATTTGTATAATGATCATTAAAGGTTGATATAGTGTGTCTATGTGTATATATATATATATAGACAGATATACACACACACACACACAGAGTTATTTTAATATATTTTCTCTATATATATATTTATGGATACAACTTATTTGAGTATATGCTCTGTTTTAATTACATTTACTGGCCTGAATGTTTGAGAAATTTCATAGAAAATATGCATTCTCCGAAAGGAATTGAACCTGTATCCTATATGAAAACCATCATTTGGCCTGACATGCTGTTAACCATTCAGCCACAGAGAACTTTCCGGTTAACAAAAATTACTGCTTGTTTATGTTAGGTTACGTTTCAGAGCAGAAATGAATTATCAAGATCATTGAAGATGTGTGATTTGAATACATTTCATTTAATATACATATAGACAGTGTGGATGTAGGAATCAGCACTACAATAGTATTTACACCTATGTCAACACTGTCTATACTTATAAATGCCCTATCTCCAATATTGAGCACTATTTCTTCATATGTAGTGCAAATTTTAATATATATAAAATTAAATGTAAACTGATATTTAAAATCACCACTAAAACCTTAAAAAATATTAATCATCTGGCAGTAGATTTTTACAGTGTGAAAATATCAGTAATGCTAAGTTGTTTGTGAAGACCGAAATTTAAAACAATTTTAGAGTTGATTTTAAATATGGGTTTACTTTTGACTTTTGCTAGCACAATGTCATTGCGACCAAAGGTTTGAACATACAGGTCTTGTTCTACCTGCTGATCATGACAGATTATATGCTTTCTCTCAGAAAACAACTAAGGTCTGCATAATATGGACTGAGTTAACTGCCCTAGCAAACAGGTATGCTTGAAGTGTGTGTATATATTTTATATATATATATATATATATATATATATATATATATATATATATATATATATATAGAGCACATATATTAATTTTAAATAGCCATTTTACCTATAATTTTAATTTTAAAAAATTCAGGGATTTTTTCAAACTCTTTTACTTAATGTTTTGTTTTATTTACTAGTTGATACCAGAAACAGTTTGAAAATCCTGTGAATTTTAAAATTAAATTTGTTCAGGTAAAATGTATTTACTAAAGGTATCATAATTTCAATCATAAAGTAAATTTGCAATGATTCTGTGAATAAAAATAGATAAATTTTTTTTAAGTTTAACATATTTCAAATTTTTAATTTGTGTTAATAGGACTCTCCTGGATTATTTAACGGATTACTACCTATATATATATATATATATATATATATATATGATAGAGGAATGACAAAGTGAATAGAAACCTATTTTCAAAGAAAAGCCTTTCATCTAAACAACTCAGTATTATACAACTTAAAATTTAGTAGACTTGTCATTTGTAAATTTTAAACTTGTTCCTATTATGAATTTATCAGATCTGCTATATACTTTTTCTGTTTATATGACTAAACTAACTGGAAAACCCAAAGAGAATCTTTTATAAGCATTTTCTTTATTTGCCTTTTTGAAATGATTTGTACCAATAATTAATACATATAATCATAATGACTGCAAGTTTGGACTGCCAGAGGTTGATTGTTGCAGTTAGGGAACATCAGGCAATGTAAAAAGAAAGGTCAGCAAATTAACAACCCTTGAGGTGTATTTTTAGAATAAGCAAAGAATATAGACAATTAATATCTCAGGTACTTAATAAAGTTGGATCTTATCACTTTAATTAATGTGGAAGTAGGCTGAATAAATAAAAAAAAAAACCTCGTGTTGACAACATTAAAAATACAAAGAATGAGTTGAATTGTTTGAAAAGTCAGGAATCTTGATTCTCTTCACAGTGTTTTTGACATTAATAAATTTTTATGCTCATTAAATACATTTTACATATGTATATTATTTTCATTTTTTTGTCATTAGGATGGGCTGCCACTGCTCTGTTCAATAAAAATGTGAAACAGCAATTTGAAGAATTCTTTCATCGTCCTGATACATTCAGTTTGGGAGTTTGCAATGGCTGTCAGCTGATGGCTCTTCTTGGCTGGGTTGTCCCTGATGAAGACAATAATGGTAATTGATAATTGATTTCTTTTATGTTTATCAACAAGATGAATTACTTTGAGTATGTTAATGTTTGTATTGTATTGATTTTCTTAAGGACAGGTTGAGAGAAAAAATAACAAAAGGATTATTTTTAAATTGCTGATATTTTACATTAAAAAATATAACGAATAGAGTTGACTCTTCATATTTGCAGGGGATTGGTTCTTCAGACCTTCTGTGGATACCAAATCCTTTATATAAAATGGTGTATGATTTGCATATAACCCATAAACATCCTTGTGTATACTTTGCATCATCTTGTGATTGTTGGTAATACTTTATACAATGTAAATACTATACTTGCCAGAAATTGACATTCAAATATAAATAAATTTCATTGTCAAAATCGTTGTGTCATAGAAAGAATGAAAATTACAATATAAAAATTGTGTACACTGTATAGCACTGGAGAAATTTGTGAAAAGATAAAAAAAAAAATCATAATAATTTGCATTAAAAAAAAAATTAGGTCAAAAAGATTTGAAAAATCTACCAAAAATCAACTAAATATTGGATTTTAATTAAATTTTGGTTCTTAGTAAAATATGAAATTTTCTCCTCCTCCAAAAAGTAAATGGGGGTATACAACACAAGTAGCAAACAATGATGATGCAAGATGAATGATGCTGAAACAACAAGGACTAAAGAAAGACTAAGGAGTTGTGAAATTTGGAGGGAGCCTTCAGTAGGTTATGTCTACATAACATTTCATTTGGGTTGATTCAAAATCATACTTGGCATATGGCAAATTAAAGTTTTGCCTTTTAGAACAATTCTGCAATTTTCTTTTGAATATTTGTAATTTGTTGGTTGAATTCATGGTTGGATGTAAAAACCATGAATATGAAAGCTGACATAAGTATTTAAAATTTTTGTATTTATTAACATTTCTAGTATTATCTGTATGTATTCATAAAATGTTACACAGAAACTAAAAACACAAGATTTTCTTTGTTTATTTTTATTTTAGTTATTTTTTAATTTAAAATTTCAAAAATGGTGTCCCTAGGACAAATTATGTATGAATAATTAAGAAGAGATATCTCTTTACCTCAAATGATGAAATGAGAGCAATTAGTCTTCATAGATTGAATAGAGTGTTTTGGTTTGAAATTCTTCAAAGGTTACCAAACATAGAAGATATTTAAAGAAAGCTTTATTTTTATAACAACAAAGATGAGCACATTCGTCCAAGGAGATTAATCTAGAATAATGACAATTCTGTGTGTCAGAAACTTATAATTTCATAATGCTGGACTCATTATTTTTTTTAATTAGTGTTGAATTATTGAGATTCTATTAAATATACTTTCTCTTCAGTTCTTTGAGAAAAGAATTGATGATACTACACTTGTAAGTCAAAAGGCTTAGAAAATGACTAAATGGTGAGAATAATATTTCAACTTGAAGTTCAGAATGATCTCTATAGGAAATAAAGATTTAAAATGGTATTTAAATATTTGTGTATTCCTATATGAATTTGGGAATAAAGCATGAAGGTTTTAGCCTTGGATTTATCCATAAACACGCGTGTACAAGCACTATAGGGGTAAATAATATTCTTTATGTAAGGGAGGCTACTCATGACCGGAAGTTGAGATATAGTTTTCAACTCACAAATTATTAAAAAAAACAAACTTTTCTCCTTAATTTCTTTGTCTGCTGTTTCTGCCTTTCATTTATTGAATTACTGTAATAAATGAGAAGGAAATTAACTAATATTAATTATAAAAAGTCAGTGATGATCTTGAAAGTCCTTCTCAATCTGATAATCACTTACATAAAAAATAAAGAAAACTACTATAATAGATGGTATATAAGATCCCTCAATATTTGCATTTAAAATTACTCTGTTATGAATTTAGGCTAGGTTCAATGCTGGTAGGCTACAGCATCTTAATAAAGATTGGTTTATCAGATGCCTGAACTTTATAGAATAGACATTGGAAAAACTTTTTAAGCCATTATTTTTTGTAAAAATTGGGTGTGAGCCTTGTCTGCCATCAGATATGGTATTTTTTTTTTTTAAAGACAGAAGGAAAAATGTGAAAATTGATGTATCTTTATTTCTGATTTTGTTTTTATCTTTTTTTTTTTCTTTATTAGATCCTGATTCTTCCCCACAAGGTTTGTTGCTGGATGAAAACAGCTCTGAAAGGTTTGAGTCTCGTTTTGTTACTGTAAAGATCAATAAAAGTCCATCCATAATGTTAGAAGGAATGGAAGGAACTGTCTTTGGAGTATGGCTGGCACATGGTGAAGGTAAGTCTCTGTCTCCCCACTCCCTGCCATTTATTATTTATTTGTATCTCCATATTTTCCCTTAGATATTTCTCTTTACCTTTAATTTCTCATTTGTCTTACATTTCATTTCTGCACTTGCTTTTGTTTTATCTTGGTACAAATTTCTGTTCTCTTTTTCTTTTTCATTTTCTCTCTACTTTTATTTAGTTACTATCTTTATATCTTTTCTTTCTCTTTCTTTCGTTTCAATTTATTTTTTCATTTTTTGTTCACCTTTGCTTTCTTCCTCTCTCTCAGTTTGGTTTAGCAATTTTCCTTCCATTATTTCATCTAACAAATCATTCATTTCTTTCTTGTTGAATGAACATTAGAATTCAATACTTCCTGTATAAGTAATTATTTTAATAGAATCTGATCATTGTGGCTGAGTCAGTCAAAAGTCATTTCTATAAAGTTTGGCTTTGTTTATGTAATGCATATTGAACAACTTTTGTTAGAAAAGAACCATATTTGCAAGTTAGAAAAATAATCGAATTATTAATAACCTTACCTCATCAACTTCAGTTAAGGTCATAGAGTCCATAACCTTGCACCACAATTAATTTTGAACTCCATAACCTTTTCCGTGACTGTATAGTATGTTCTTTGCCAGGGTTGCATACGGTTTGAATTGTCTTTCTCTTGGACTACTTACCAACTATGACTAGAGAGCCAAGTCTGTCCTTCTCTTTAGCCAATGTCAGGGGTGGGGTTTGGTTAGAAAAGATGCATTCATACCTTTTCAAAGGGGATTTGTGCAAAAGTGAATGTACTGAATTTGTAATCTTATATGCTATTTTGTATAAAATGACATCAGTATTATCAAAGACTTGGAAAAATGCTGCTTTTTTGACAGAGCCTGGCTACAATAATATTGTGTGAAATTAAAGCATTAGAATCTGTGAAGAAAGTTCATTTCAGTCTCTGGATAGACAGCAATTTTTTATTCTTTTCTTTTTAAAGTACATGTAGTGATGTTGTACAGTGTAATGATTTCAAATTTCAAATAACATCGTCATTTTCTTTACTAAAAATATAAACTTCATTATATTATTTACTCTATATCCTCTACATATTTTCTGTCTGAATTTCTGGATGAAGTTATCACCATGCAAGTGTCCTCATCTTTGTTATTGTTATCATCAGAGTGTCTTACCTGCCTGTTCTGGTGAGGTTATCATTATTACATGCCTGTACCACTCCTTGCCCGTACTCATCTTTGTTGTTGTTGTTTTTATCACTTGATATCTCAGGTTATGCATATATATAATGTCTTGTAGAAATTGATAATAACTTATCAATATAATCAAAGCCATTTTTCAGAAGCATTGTTATTTCCTGAAATTTTCGAACCAATATCCTCAAATTTTGTTTGAATTTATGAGGTGAAACATTTTCCTTATCAGTTATTCATTCACCCTTTACCATCATTAAGAGTGATGGATGTAAGAAATGTAAACAGCCACTCATATGATTATGCCTGTCTGCAAGTGTGTTTTAACATTCTATGAACGTCTGCTCAGGCACATTTCCTTTTACAGAGGGTCACCTGTAGTTTTATGCTACACTCTGCCAGAGTGGATCTTGTTTAATTCTGGGAGGGAGTGCATCATGCTGTGAGATTGGAACGAGGTCTCTTGGTTGTAAAGTGAATATTCTAATCTCTCAGCCAATAATCTGCATGGTAATAGTGCAACTAATCATCATATCTGCTGTTTGGAATACACATTTTTGGCAGTCATTCTTCAGGTGTATGTTATATCATGTAATCTTTTGTCCACAATATTTTTTAATAATCTTTGATGTTTAGGTCTGTGAATTGCACCCTTTGCAGTCATGACAAAAGTTAGAGAAAGAAAAATAAATCAATTGTGGATAAGATCCGGATATTACCAAATGTGACATCCACATGAAGAAGTCAGAAAAACAGCTAGAAATGTTGGCTTCAAAACAACAAAGATAAGGATACTAATCTGAATACCCCAAGAGGAATAATTAATTTTTGTTTAATTGTTTTTTATAGATGATTCATAATTTATCGCTTCAGATTTGGCTGATCTGAAGTTTCATCTTCAAATTTTTGAAGTTCTCAAGTTCATAAAAGATACAAACTTAATTTGAAAGTCTGACACATATTAATAACTGAATGTTTGATCTGAAATGTTAACTATGTTATTCATTTAATGAGATTCATATTCACATGAATTAAGTGCATTGACAAGAAATAAATATTTGTTATGTAAAATAAATAGTCTTTTTTTCTTCATTAGAATCTACAGATTTATTGTTTTTAACCAAGTTGAATTTTTTTTCCTTCATCTCAAGAACCTGTTTCTGTTTTTTACAGGAAAAATGATCTTCAAATCAGAAAGTTTGCATAAAAAAACCAAATTAAATAATCTGATTCCAGTTCATTATGTTGATGACAGTGGAGAAGCAACTTGTTGTTATCCATTTAACCCCAATGGTTCTCCTGATGGTATTGCAGCTGTCTGTTCTGAAGATGGACGTCACCTTGCCATTATGCCACACCCTGAGAGATCATTTTTAGCTTGGCAGTGTCCCTGGATGCCATTAGATATGAGGAGCAAGCTGAAAGCCACCCCATGGCTGAAGATGTTCACAAATGCCTATGATTGGTGCCTTAAAGAACGTTGATTTTCATTTCATAAATTGGAGCCTCGTTCTGAAATGATTTTGAATAATATACTCATTTATACAGGATCTTTTTCTAATAGCCAGAAGAAATAAAATATTTTGCTGTACTTATTACTAACCAACATTCCAGTGATATTGACTTTTGTCTTTCATGGATGTATTCTACTAGTTTTACCATTACCCTGGAAGTGAATAAAATTCTGTGAATATCTTAGATGTGATTTTTGAAAAATATATATATAACTTGCAATATTTGGAATGATAATCTTTCTTTTTATGCGTCTTGTATAAGTCTCGAGATGGCACATAAATGATAAATATCTGCTGTGAAAAATACTCATTCTTAATTGACTGACAAGAAGTGTATGTCTCCAGCTTAGAAAGAATGAATCTCTTTT